TGTGTGTGTGCGTGTTTGTGAGGAGCGCTGCTTTTGAAGACAGATTGCAGGTTGATGTTTCTCACACAGTCTCCCCTTTTTGTGTAGGTCCAGACCACCACTATGTGCATCTCTGTCAGTCTGAGCGGCTCGGTGGTTCTTGGCTGCCTGTTTTTCCCTAAAGTCCACATCATCCTGTTCCATCCCCAGAAAAACGTGGCCAGACTCCCGGGCCAACGCCGCAGTACCTGCGTATCTGCGGCCACCTCCCACTACGCAAGAGGTACAAACACAAAGCAGACCAAAGCAGACGAAAGCTGTTGAAAACTGAACCAATTCCAATAAACATAGAAAAAGGTGTCAACAATTAAATTCAGCTTTTTCACAATCCTGTTCAATTGAGCAAAAATGAATTTCAGTTTAATGGCAAAATAACTCCTTTACTTTGCCATTGAAGTGTGGCAAAATAATGCCACACTTTGAGGTGTTTTGTACAATAAAACAAAAATAACAGCGTGAGGAGTATTTTTGAAGAATGCATTCAAATTCTGAATTTAGAAGAACCAGACGTATTCATTGTTAATTGCTCGGATACTTTCATTTGGAACACGCACACAATAGAAAAAGTACAATATCTAATATCTGAAAGGAAGCCGCATCCAGTGAAAGAAAAGCTTATCTCAGCACAACAAAAACATTCAGAGTGGAAAAACGTCACCAAAATCAGCATTTAAAACTCATTATGTGGCACCTCATTTGTGAAATGTGTGGACAAACAATAATGGCTTTCCGGTGAACAAGTAGAGATTAAAATTTTAAAAAAGGCAGCGATCCCAGCCAGTCAGCGAGCCGAGAAATTACCCAGCAGATTACAAAACAGAGATATAGTGTTTTAATTAGTCAGCTTTACGGGTTTCTGGGTGGCGTGTGTGCTCTGTTCATCCAGCTCAGGGCAGCTTTCTGTGTTTATGGTCTGTAACGTTGAAAGCAACTTTATGGTCATTAAAGTTAGTTTTACAACCAGAATAATCAGAATAACTGATAGATTATGGTGCAGGACAGTACAAGTTATTTGAAGTGGTAAAAACAAACAAACGTGTGATTGTAATTCAAGAAAATGAAATTTCTAACTGTAAGTTTGTCCTGGAAACATAGTAAATATTTACCAAAATTTTTTTTTCTTCACATTTTGCCGTGTTATAACAACGCATTTCAGTGTGTTTTCTTTAAATTAGTTACCAACTGTTTACAGAAGTAGCCTGGTGTGTAGTTTGTAAACTACTATAAATGTAAATATATGTATAAATACAGCCAGAAGAATAATGGAATGGCTTAGATCAAAATATATTTTTGTTAAAATGGTCCAGTCAAAGTCTGTATGTAACCTTTGGTTAAAAATGTACCCCAAAAGACTTGTAACACAGTGTTTCCTCAGGGTGCCTGAATAAAAATGCATTTAAAATTTGTAATGTTTTCTTTAAAGAAAACTTTGAAAATTGTGTATCATTTTCATCCAAATTCAAAAGTACGCAATTTATGTTGCTAGAAAAATACATTGTAGTTTGAAAATTTTAACATGACAAAATGTGAAAAGGCTTAAAAGAAACGACGGCTCGCTTATGAGGCTCTATTTTTACTCATCTTTTTTCACTCATCTGTTTTTCTCCAATCTAAGTGAGGCTATCAGAACTGAAAATATTGATTTGTCTTTAATAAAATAGCTTTGCTTTCATGTATACCAAACCTTACCAAATCCAAAGGGTCACATCAGAAAGTATTTGTTAACAGAGCAGCTTTGCTTTTCATTTTTACACGTATTTATTGTTTTACAGGTTTCCCTGGCCAAGTTGGATTTTAGCTACATTGTATGAAGGTGGATATATTAACCAGTTTTCAGTACTTTATAATTTAGACTTTGGCCATAATATTCTCTCTATTAAAAAAAAAAAATCATCCTAAAGCCTAACAGCTTTCGAATAATACCTCATGCCCATTTCCATCCTGTTACTCACAGCTTTTTTCTCTGGTTCAAAGTCTCACTTCTCATCATTAAAACAGAGAGGAAACTCAAACATGCAGCCTGGCTAACATCACTACTTCTATTCTCGCAGAATCAACTGCCAACTACGTGCCGGCAGTCTGTAACGGCCGCGAGGTGGTGGACTCCACAACGTCTTCTTTGTGAAAAAGTTTCTCTGAAAGCACAGGAAACCATCCCCGGCATCAGCCATACTTCCATCAAACACGGCCCCAAATACGACGAGAGCCCTCTCCCTTCCCTTGACATCTCACATGTTGCAGAGAGATAACGGTCAGGGTGGAACGACCGGCAGCAACGAGAGCAACTCTAACTGTGAAAGCTAAAAGATGTTGGAGCTTCCGAGCCGTATGTAACAACTGTAAAGCTTTTTTTGTATAGATTTTAAACGCTGTGATCTCCTTTGGTTTACAGATAGATGTGATTACCTGCACCGTGCCTTGTCTTTAAAGAGTCTTAATGTGAAATGGGTGGTTGTGAAGCAATAGTGAAATACAAAATGCTGTTCTTATCTAGTCCTAACAGTGTTGTGAATATATCCAAATGTTTTAGACATTGTCAAAAAAAAATGCTTTGAAGTAAATTTAGCCCTTCTGTTGAAAAAATGTGTAACTAACCATAGTGAATGATGAAAAACAGACACTATAAAGGACATGTGTTACCGTAGACTAGATTAAAAGTGTGTTTTCTTGTAATTAATGTAAATAAGATGTTTTTTAAATTAAAAACTCAATTTTACTCGAAGCCAGCTTTCATTCGTAGTTTTTTCTCATTTTGTTGGGACGTTTTTCTTACCTTTTTTCACAAGAAAAAACAAATGGGTGCAATAGATGCTGCAATATTATTAATAAAAAGTTGGATTTTTCTGTATTTAGCTAAAACTTTAATATATAACTACATTTAATAGTGCTTCAACCCAGCGGTGACAATTTATATTCAATAGGCAGTAGTAACACAGCTACAGTACCCTAAGTAAATTTAAATTTAACTGCTTATTCATGGGTTGAAATGTATTTCCAGCTTAATTAATAACTGGCTTATTAACACATTTTCAGGCATATCTGCAGTGTTTATGCAAGTCACAGAGTTAAATTTAAATTAAGACCAACATAAATTACAGTAGAATATATTTACTCAATGATGTTATATACTTGAGCTAAATGTAACTTCGCATACATGTAGTTTTCATCTCTTGCATACAAGATAGCCTAGTGTATTTACTGATGCCAGATTTCAGCAGCTTTAGAAACTCCAGTATTTAAACTAAAATACTAAAAATACTCATGTCCAACAGCTAGTAGCAGGTGAAGTAAGATGAAATATTTAGTATTAAAGTATAAGAAGTCACTTTTACCAGTCTTTTACGAGGTCACACTTGGGTGAATGTCTGATGATATTTTGCTGCCCTGCAAAATATCATCTGTTCAAAAATAATTACACAAAAGCTTTTATTTCAATGAACACAAATGCTTTGGGATAATTTTATATTATGTTCCAAATGAAAACATAAACCAAATGTGTTACCACTCAGAGAGAGGCAAAGAAAAAATTTAAAAATAAAAATACATAAGACTAAAATATCAGGTTCTGGACTTTTTCTCACATCCTCAAAACATTACTACATAAAAAAAGGCTTGAGGATATACAGTAGTTTCTGTGAATTTGTAAATTAAAAGCTGTCAAACCACTTCTTTTTTTAACTTCTCTGCATGCTGTCACAGAGTTAACATGTTTCTGGCACAAAAAGACATATTCCAATCCATGCATCCTCTGCATTTCTTTGTCTCAGGAATTACTTGGCTGAAGGCCTGATGACTAGGCTGGGGTTAAAGGGGTTAAACATATCAAGATTAAACTTGGTGCGTTTTAGGATTACTGCCTTGTTGCAGTGCCACTTTTTTTCAGCATGAAGCAACATTTCTTCAGGTTTGTGAGTGCTTTCAAACTGGTTCTTCATTCCTGGTATAAGATCAAGTAATATGAGAAAAACTCCCATTCCCTGATGCCCAAGCCACCATGCTTCACAGTGGTGGATGTGTTCTGATTCAAAAGAATCTTATTTCTGTTCACTCTCAATATCATGAATGTTTTTCTGTTAGCAAATTCTAACCTCAGGTTTTTCTAAAACTATTGACTTTGTGGCCAGCTGACTTCCTCCTTCAGTTTAAAACAATCAATCAAGTCAGTGATGCTTTGCTAATATTTTGAACACACCCGCTAGTTTAACGAAAGACTTTTTGAAACCATTAAGCGCCTTTAAATGTATTAAGAGGAAATGGCATTTGTCTCACTTCCTGCTTGGTTCATCGCCGCGGCTTTGAGGTACCTCTTGTCATCCAGTGGAGAAATTCAGGAATTTTAAAATGTAAGAATCAAAAGACAGCTCATCTTCAGGGTGCTTGTCTGCAACAAACAGCACCATCAGTGTCATGTCTAAGATAAGAAATGCCTCTGCACAATGGAGATTGACATTTACATCAACACCACCTGAAATGCCAAGTCTTCAGTGAATACCTGCAAGATAACAAACCTGCAAGAACCTGAAGACAGTTTTACTAAATACAAATGAAGGAATTTGTGTTTCACACAAATTTAGTACAACACGTTTGTTTTACTAAACAAATGTTTACATCAATTGACATTTTTGACATTGGTGTCAGACTTATTTGTTCATCAGTGTGAGGTTGATAGAATTGCAATAAGAACTTAAAATGCTCCCTATCAACAAAGAATCTGGGAAGTTGAGATCATGTCAATGTTTAGGTCTCTGAATAACCTGTACAGAGGCAGCTACTGGGGATGGAAATGCAAAGACTCCTACAACGCAGCCTCTTCACACCTTTCATCCATCCTGTTGCAGTCGAACTCACCCACAAGGCTGTGATTCTTTCACAGAACATGAAGCTGCACTTCCATAAAAACAGCTACTGAAAAACTTCGTTAGTGGCTAAATAAATACCCTTCATATTAAAAGTAAAGAAAACAAAGACATTTACTGTAGGTTTGAAACATTTAATTTACAAAAAAAGGTCTTTATTCTGTCTGTTTTGCTTCTTCTGGATTTGATGGTTTTCTTTTTAGAGGAATGATATAAATCCCATTTTTGGCTTCTTTCAATCTCCACCATCGTCCCAATCTGTACACAAAACAAAAGTCCACATACACGTTACAAGATATGATTTTTCACAAAACTACTGAAGAGTTGAAACATTCAGAGCGTTTCAGAGTCAAACTAAAATGTTTAAAATGCTTCTCTTATTTTTTACTATAAAACCTTTTTTTTATTGTTTAAATAAGCTTGGTGCAGTTCTGTTACAAGAGTGGTCCAACACTGCCATCTAGAGAATATGCGCAGGGCAAGTATGCTTCTGAGTTGCAGTCATAGATTTTCCCAGGGCAACATAAACAGAAGTTTGGTACCTGTGCTCCTGTCCGACACCAGCCACCAAGAACTGCCCAGCGCTCGAAAACTTCAGACTGTTGATGAAACCAGACTGAAACATGGAAAAAGAGACAGAAAACACATTCAGCAAGACTAATTGAACCCAAAAGTGAGTCATAATTCACATTGAAAATATTTTATTGATCCCAAAGGGAATTGAAACATATGTTAGTTTCAATGTGTACATATACTCACGGAAAAGATAATATAAGCATTTGTGTTTATACAACTACAGAAGTTCATACTTTGTAGTAACAGTGTGCTGGACTGTTTATGTAGGTGGATGTGCAGCGGTCAATTGTTCAGTCAAAGCAAAGGGTAAAAAATGATGAAGGGTGAGAAAATGGAAGTTGGTGGTTCACAGTTGTAGCTGGGCTTACATTTATGATAAAACTATTTTTAAAATAGTAACTTCAAAATAGGAGCAAGTTAACCGATCTTACCACTGGCACACTAAAGAGAAGCTCCAGGCTACGGTAGTTGTGGCCACATTTCCACACATTCACCTGGGAGTTGTGAGAACCTGCAGAGGAAACAATGGTTACCATATAAAGCACACACACCCAGTTTTAATCTAGGAAACCACAGCAGAACCAAACACATTACTTCAATCTATATCAAATTTGAACACCCTAATATAATCAGTTCCTTAAGAAATGATCGCATATGGATATCTATGTCTTATTTATCTCAGTAGAAGAAAGTGATTCAACTTCAGGTAAAAAAAAAAAAAAAAAACTGTGTTCTCTCTGGAAGACTTGAATCGGCTTTTCATGTTTTTCTCTGAGGGCAAATGTTTTCTCGTCGCACGCCTCTCATTAAAGTTAACCATGTCGATACAGACATGCCCTTCCATGTTAACAGCAGTGAGCAGCTGCCTTAAGTATTTGATATAATGTTGGGTTTTTGAAGACTTCTAACATGTTGTAGCCTGCTATTGGGGTGAATTTGCTCCAACCTGGGCATGTTGACCGTTTTTGAATGTCTTTCATTAGCAGACAGCTTTCTGTACAGCTCAAGACTTCTTTAAAAGTCTTTCCACTCTGAAGCAGCTGCAACCTTCTTTTTGAAGGACTCAAGAGATGTTTTAGTTTGGTCTCACCCTCATTTCAACATTTTGAAGCACACAAGTTAAATATTTGATGGGTAAATCTCCTTAATGATGCTTACTAATGATGCTCTTCTTGTGTGCAACATTCTTTACCTACATTTGGGGTATTAATAAAATGAATATTAAATATCCCCGTGTATGTGGTCTAATGCCTGGCAGACAGCATTTTGTCGAGTTATTAAAAAGCTCGTGAAGAGGACTCTCACAGCCAGAGGCACCTGAGGCTACAGTATCCGAATTGTGAAGCGCTGCCACTGAGGACACCCAATGAGGCTGCTCCAGCCCCGGCTCGCCACGGCAGCCGTGAGCCCGCTTCACCGTGCCGAGAGGCTTCTTCTTGTTGACGCTCCAAAGAGACACTGAGCTGAGGTTGTCGAGAAAATGAAAAGAGAGCATGAAAGAGAAATAAATGATCCAGGCGAATTACTAACATAATGGGTGGGTGGGCAAATAAGTGACTGTGGATGTGAAAATAAAATCTCTTACCCGTCATCTGCTCCTGTTATCATGTGCTCCTCATTTATGAGCTGGACACAATCAATCGAACCTCTGAAGGACAAACAGAGGAAGACAATAACATCATTACAGTTTGTCCCTTTATAGATACGAACACATAAGTGCAGTCAAATTATTAACGTGTGTTTACCTGGGTATAAAAAGCTATTTTTTGTGTTGCCTTATTCAGTGAAAGTGTCAGACCGTAGTGAGAACCAACAGTAAAAATGTAAATGTCATCTACGTATTTTATGTTTCAATCTATTTTAAATTGTTTCGTCAGCATCCTTTTATTTGACCCAACTTTGCTTAAAGCAACAGATACATTTTGTTTCTGCTGTGTTGGCAGCTCCTTCTTTCAGGCCGTAGTTTAATGTGAGCACATTTCTAAATTGCTGATGATGTGTGTTGTGGTACAACAGTAATGAAATGTTTATTGCTTGTTTCATAATTGATGACTGCATGACGCTTTTATGGCATGAAGCACTTTGAATTTCCGTGTTGCTGAAATGTGGTACACAAATAAACTTGACAAACAGAAGGCACAAGCTTATTTAAAATATATATGTATTTTCATCAATAAAATACAGCTGTGCCTTTTCCGTCTGCTTTTTATTGCCACAAATGTTCAAATAAATTTTTGTGAAAGAAGATTTTTTAAAATGCTTTCCAAAATTATATTTACCTCAGTTTATGATAAAATATGAACCCAAGTGGGTTTGTCAAATCTTACTCTTATTACACACGTTACTTACCAGCATGTGGTAAATACATATTCAAGATATGAGCCAGGTAATTTCAGCTCTGAAGCGGTTTTTCCAGTTGCAGCTGTTTTGACATATCTAAATGTTACTGTTTCAGACTGAAAAATATTTTACTTTCTCCTTCTGTTGAGGGCAATTTCTGCTATCAGGCTGAGAACAGGATGTCACACTCTGCTGACTTTTTGCACAATAAATTCACAGATGGTTTTTATGTCTCACTTTTCCTGTCACAACTCTACCAGCCACACACATCTGTATGCAGTAGCATAGAAAGCTGAAAAGAGTGGAGCTGTGTTTTAGCCTTTTGAGGTTTCAACCTCTGTTATTGAACATGCTGGATTTTAAAACTCAGGACCTATTTCAAAATCTAAGACTGAAGGTAAAGATCTGCTAGAAAATTCACCAGGCTCCTCTCCCAGCAATGCAAACCTAACTTACATAAGATGCCTAAATGTAGCTAATTATGTTAAGTTTGTTTGCTCTCACAGATGCATCATGATGTCACATAGGCTCCTAGTTTCATTAAATATTTAAAAAAATATTTCATTTAATATTGGTCTTAAATTCTTTAGGACAAATTCAATCATCTTAAAAACCATTTATAACAACACACTTCTGATCAGTGTGTCTCTAATTGTTACGTTTGGTGTGATTGCCACCTACTGGTTCACAATAGTTATTTCAATGCTTGATGGGATTTTTTCATGTTTCTCTGGGTGGAGAATTCAAGACGAAACCAATATGTAAAGCAGTGCAGCCAAGGCCACAGTCTGTACTTCTCTTGCTTTACAAATAAAAACTAGTTTGTCAAAAGATTTATGCTGTGATTTACAGCAGTGTTAGTTTTCCTCCTCTGTGCTTCACTGGACTGTGCTTTGTTTGAAGTGTAGGAGAGGTGAGACAGCAAATGTTTCCCAGCTATAATTTTCACATATGCAATATATGTGAAACTTACACTGCACTAAAGTAAGCAATAAATTTCAACCAGTTAGTGAGTTACAGATTGACAAAAAACAAGTTTAGGTCAGAGATCTACAGAAACCCACTCATGTCCGTGGAACACCAGCTGCGACTCCTCTGCTATCTTCCACACTCTGACGGTGCCGTCCCGCCCACCTGCAGTGACGCAGCGCTCACGGCTCAGACTGTCCAGTCCGGTGATCACATCCTGATGGCCGAATCTGCAAACACAACACTATTAGACTAAAACACAAGAGACAAAAAAAAAAAAAAAAAAAAAGCGCTACAAAGGATTACTTTTCTGCCGAGCGACTTACAGAGTTTCCACGTATGCGTTCTCATCTACATTCCACACCTTGACTGAGCGGTCGTGAGAGGCGCTGTACAGTTCATGAGTTCCCTTCCTGAATGAAAGACCCTGAGAACCAAACAGAAAGATATTAATCTCTGCAACAACAAATTAAACCTGTGAAACATTTTATAAGGGAGAAGCTCTATAAAGCTTTAGGTAAAAAGAAGTATAACGTACCGACACCGGGCCTTTGTGTCCTGTAAATTTATGCAGATGTTTACACGTTTCTCCCTCCCAAATCATTATCAGATTGTTCATGTCTCCTGTGGCCTGAAGAGGTTTGAAGATGTCACTGTTACATTTAGTGTGTCAATTTTACAACAAAGGTGGGATATAGACGTTTCCATAACAAAATTAGGAATCAACAGAAAATAAAGGACTCACCAGGTATTTCCCATCGGATGATATGGCCATACACAGGACGTGAGCTGTGTGTCCAACATGGCGGTCTTCTGTACCTTTTCTTCCACCGTGTATTGTATGGAGCTTCTTCCCATTTTCAACATCCCCTGAAAATATAATTTAGCAAGGTTTATTATCAGATTTACAGCCCAATTTTCATCAGTGTGGTTAAAATACGTAGCCAAATACTAACATTTAATTATGGAGCAATCTTTGGCAGCTGAGAAGATACATCTGTCATCAGGAGTTATAACCAGACACGTAATCGGTAGTTTGTGACCTCTTAGCAATCTGATCTCTGAAGCATCTGGTGCCATCAACTAAAGAAGAAAAATATATTATTTAAGGACCTTAGATAAGTGGAGGTCTGGAATGGAAAGACATTTCCACACTTACATCTTTGGCTATAAGACGCTGGAGCTTCCCTTTCTGTTCAAGCTGAAATAAAATGAGAAACAGTAAGAGGAACAGAGAGGAATTCAGCAAGAAAATATCTACTACTCAGCTATTATGAGACTTTACAGAGTTTGTACAGGTTTTCATATCAAAAGTCCATATTTTTGGCCTATACAACTATTTTACTAAACAGAGGGTTAAATATATTTGCTAGAATAGTGCAAAGTACTTCTAGTGACTGTATCTACTGTACGTTCACCTGACCTCCAAAAGGCAAGCAGTCTCAGCAGATAGTAAATAAAACATTAGAACAATAAAGCTGGTGTACAAACTAGACGTCTCAGAGAAGACGTGTATTTTTGGTTAAAATGTGTTTTTCATCTTTCTGTGGGTCTTCAGAAATTCCTAATATGCACAACCAGAAGACACTTCTCACCACTTCTTCTTGAAGCCGTCCAGCTATCAGATCTGCCTCAAATGACTCATCCTCAGCTTTCTTTTCCTCTATGAAGAACAATTAATCTGTTAAAATCTTATATTAAACATAGCTAAGCTGCAGTTTGATAATATCCAATAATGTACACAAGCCTACCTTCTTCTTTTAGTTGTTCAAGATAAAGTTTGGCTAATCTGAGCTTCTTCTCCTGTGGAGTTTCCTCAAACTCAATCTCGTCTTTGGCCTGCCTTTTCTTGGATTCGTTAGGACTGCAGAGAAAAAACAAGATAAACACACATCCTGAATCATGGTGACATTGTTCTTAGGCATTTATTTACCCTTATTAGAAGATCTGAATTTGATTATGTGTATCTTGCTTTTGTTCATATTGCAAACACAAAAATCAGTGTAGTTTAAGAAATGTTATGTTTTAGATCGATACAAATTAGAGCACAATTGTGAAGTGGAACGAGAACAAACTTTCACTGCAATTTCAGTCTTTTGTGGAATATTTTTCAGTTTTTCACATGTGGAGGCAAACGTTGTTCCCATTCCTCTTCCTGTTGATTAGATGGAGATCTTCATGCCACTGATTCATTTAGGTCTGGACTTCGACGAGGGCATTCTAACACTTGAATGTTGTGGTGGTTTATGCCGTGTCACTGTAGCTCTAGCTGTGTTTTTTGAGTGGTTGTCCTGCTGGAAGGTGAACCTTTGCTCCAGACTTCAGTCTTTTACAGGCCCTAATATTTTTTTTCCAGACTTGTACTGTGTTCAGTGCCGTCCATTGTCTCCATCAGCTCAGATCGGCTCACCTATTGCTGCTGAAGAAAAACATATTGCCACCTTTGCGTTCAGGTTGATTTACGGTGTTATTTTCCCACAAACAATGTTTTCACTTGAGCCGAGAAGTTAATTTTTTTTAGAATCAGCATCTTCATCTGTGTTCCTTGCAGAAATTCTCATGGCTTTCGTTTCATGACTCTCTTCAGAAAGACCATATGTATAGAGTACATAAATAGTGGTTGTCACGTGAACAGTTTTGCCACCTTGACTGTGAATCGCTGCAATTGTGAATTAAGCCTGCAAATTTATCCTGATCATAATCGCTATATGCAAGAGCTGTTTGAACTTCAATAAAGCATCATCACCTCAGAGATGGAGATTTCAAATATCTATCTTCATTTTTACTATACAAGCATATTTTTTGTATTTAATTACATTTTGTCATAACATTCAACTATTTTGAAAACGTTGTAAACACACTAGTTGTTTCTGTTAAAATCTATTTAAATGAAAACGCAACAGCTGTAATTTCAAAGAGAGTTTGTTTTCCATCAACTCTAAAAAGGGAAATATAATAATAAAGTCCAACCTGAATTCCAAACAGGTACGAATTTAGGATTTAAAGAAAATCCATAATATTTGCATAATTAATAAGGCTCAGGTTAATTTCATCAACAGAATCAGGTGTTCAACTGAAAAAGTAGCAACGTCTCTCTTACCTTTCCACCTCTGAGTCACTGGAAATCTCTTCATTGTATTTGCTGCTGGATTTCTTTGCTCGTATTTTGCTCTGTGCTCCTGAATCTCCATCAGCCTGCGGAAAAACATAAAATCAACACATTTATTGAGCGCATAAACACGAACAGTTGCTAACATGACTTAGCTCGATTGCTAACAGTTTTCTCAACTTGCCTTCCGCTTAACCGCTGCTGTTTCTTTGCCTTTTTTGGTCGTTTTAGGATTCCCTTTTGTCTTAATGAAAAATGACGACATTGTGAAATGTGACAAAAGACGTGCTAGAATAAACTTTAGCTCTATCGCTGCTCAAGTTTGTCTTAGCAGGAACATTGAAGCCACATGTGTAGATCGCAACTAGTGTGGTATTCCATGCCCGGCTCGGAGAACAAGTGCTGATTGGCTCGGAATCTTGCCAGTTTTAAAATGCCCCGCCTTTTCTTGGAAGCGTGATTTTCCATTGGTCGAATCCTTGAAAGAGGGTGGAACAGGAAGTTGTACAGATTAAAAATGCTTCCCTCGGGAACCACCTCTCCTCAGCAATGTTCCACAGATATTTGTAAAAAAATACGGATTTTAAAACATATCGGTTCAGAGCGCACCATTTCCACGTAGTTTTAAATATAAACATACACTTAATATTTCACGCATCTGCAAGTGAAAATATTTTACGCGAGTGTTAAAAAAATTAAGCAACTACATCAGGACCTTTATACTGTAATACTGGAGTAGTACTACTACTTCCTCCTCTACGCAGTATTTCCATGTATTCCGCTGCCTTTGTCTTCAGTGACTGTGTTTTTTAGGCTCTCTCCCTGAAGGCGATCTAATCGGTCAGGTGAGACTCTTATGCACTAACATTAAAGCTTGGTTTAACAACAGCTGATGGATAGTTTGTCTTCCTCTGTGCGTCCAGCTGCTGTAGTGGGAGGGGCTGAGAAGGAGACAAGGGGCAGTGGGAGCGAGCCAAACAAAAAACCCCTCTCCATCTTAGCTGGCATTAAATAATTTAATATGAAAACAAAGAATGATCGCTGAGTGAATGTGAAAAGTTTGTCTGCGCCCCTGTGTGCGGAGAAAATCAAAACTTGGAACGTGTTTCCATATGTCCAGATTTACTTCTTCTTTTTCTTCTCAGATGCCTCCAAAGAGAAGCTCTGGATCAAGTCCAGGACAGCCGCAAGTGAAGATGATAAAGATCGGCAGCCCTTTAGATGTGCAGGAGTTCAGTGCTGGGTCTGTGGAGGACAGATACAGGATGGCAGAAGAGTCCAGCCACTCCCCTCTTCCCACCAACGAAGTGATCGCAGTGAACTCAGTTGACCTTTCCATTCACTGAAAAGCAACAGTTGCTATTTTAAGACATTGTTTCGATCTGAAGCGCGACTGAAATCTTGACCGTCGTTTTCGTTACTTGAAGTTTTAAAGAAGTCTGGTTCAAAACAGATTTGCTGCAGGACATTTCGCATCTCTTTGCAAATCAGTGAATTAAAGTATTTTTTTCATAAACTACTCATTGTCTATAGTAAGAAAACTTGATTATGTGACACCAGGAAATAATATTCGACCACAGGAAGTTCCTTAGATATTTAGATTTCATTTGGGATCATAACAATAATAATCAAAGTAGTAAAACTAGATAATGCTATACATAGTTTATAGCTGCATTGATACCAAATGAGATGAGAGAAATAGAAGGAGTGATATGGATGCCAGATCAGGATTGAAATCGACAAAATATCGGTTTACTCCCAAAACCAACTGTCGTTATTTTAATGAGAGTAATGGATGGCATTCCTTTAATTGTCTTGCCAAGACGTTGCTTTTCAGAGCTGGAAATATTCTCAAACAGCCACATTTTCATTTCTCAGAAGCCAGCCCATGCTCACTCTGAAGCAGGACTGTTTTTGCACGTTCCTTGGAAAGTATTTACCGTCTCTTTTCTTCTTTTTTTTTTGGCAGCCTGAAACTTTTGACTTTGATGAGGAACACTTTGCAAGCCAAGGCATCAGGACGGACACCGTCAGCCTCCTCATGAAAATAGAACAGCTGCAGGCGCAGCTCAAATACGAGCGCAGATGCAGGATCTTGGCTGAGAGAGAGCTGAGGGAACTCAAAGGTTGGTGGAAAGATACACCAAGTAATCAATCATTAATCTCGTAGCACTTCCTGTCTTGAGCACATTATGGTTTTATGTGACGTCAAGCAGATGTGTGGTTATTGTTGATATCATGTCCATGTCATATTTTTTCAGATTTGTTTGGTCATATATATATATATATATAATATATATATAATATATATATATGTGTATATATATATATATATATATATATATCTATATATATATATATATATATATATATATATATATATATATATATATATATGCATCTCTGACTAAAAGATAAATCAATTTAAAATCTGCCAGAAATCAGAAAATAATACTCAAAATGTTTTTCAAAAAATTAAACATCAGAGAAAATGTAAATACATTTTATTTCTTTAATTATGTAAAGTTCTGATGCCCACACTGTTCAGATTTTAATGGATTACAGAAGCTGATGTAGTCTTATTATAGAATCTAGATTGAACTGTGGGTTATTACCAATTATGAAGAAAATGAGTGAGTGTATAATATTATTTTAATAATATTGCATTTTGTAATGCAACTCACTTTGTGATCATTTTATATTTTATATATAAGGCATCATAGTTATTCCTAGAAGCTTTCTTGCATGTTGACTTCATGAAGACTTCATTAATTGTAAAGAAACTGGTTCAAGGATATAGGCATACCTTTAAAAACTAATTGTGTTCATCAAAGCAAAAACATATTCTAAATATTTAAGGTGTTACTTCACCTCCTATTTGGGTCTCCTACAAATATCAAATAAATAGAACTATGAAAGTAAATATGTTTTGAGAAGTTGTTTCAATAAATTCATAAAAATACTCACTACTTGATAAAACTCAAAATCCTTAAAAATACTTGTATGCAATTGACCTTTTATGGTTTTCCACCTTTTTGTGTAAAGTTGTACTGTGGAGATTAAAAAGATTTTTAATATAAGGGCCTTGCACACAACTCATGTAAACATATTACTGCAATTGTGAAAGAAAGAGCTGCTTTGCATCCTCAGGGCAGAAACACATTCTGTGCATGCAGGAAACAATAATCCCACAGCCTCACTGCATCATCTAGTTCTGTGTGAGAATGTCAGGACGACTCCAGCTGATTTGCGTTAACTTGTCTTGCAGCTGTATGTTTTTGTGTACCGCGAATACTTATCTTGCGTTAGGTTTAGCTTTTCAACGACTACTCTGTGACAAAGTTGCCAAGTTATATAAAGTGTGTTTCGCAAGTGTATTTGTGTTGATTTAACATTATTTGCAGAGATGAACACTCTCATGATACAGATGAGGCACACAGCAAATGAACTTCGAGTAACTCTGGATCACGTTCTTCATGGAAGTGAGGCCGGGGTTGAACCACAAAACACTGATGAAGGCGTGACCTTCCTGAGCGATTCTGGAGTTCATGTTGGAGGAGTTCACAATATCCCAGAGGTCAGTCCCAGAATGATCTGAAAGTCTTTTGCTAATACAACAGTTAAAGGTACTGAGCCCAGTTTTTGTTTTGAAATCAAACTGGACAATCCTGACTGTCCTGGTATTAGAATATTTATATCCTGCACCATACAAATGAAGATTGTGATTTTTATATGATCTTTTTTTTGTTGTTTGTTTTCAGGATGACCTTAACTTTGTGTATCTTGCTGAGAATATACGAGTGCCAAAAGATCTTTATGAGCGTGTTGCAGACATTTCTGACTTTAAGAAGTATGTCGGCGCTCTGCTGATGATAATTTTCGACCGAGACACTTTGGCCACTCACTGTCTGCAAGGCCGGAAAAACAACTTCACAGGAGAAGATAGCCACAAGCCTCCTCTCCCACCTGAGATCTTAAAAAGCTTAATGGGTGAGATAAAGAACACCAGCCAAAACTCAAATATTCTTTGTAGCATAACACTATCTTCTTTAATATTGTTAATATTTTGTAATGTGTTCTTGTTTTCCTCTTCAGATCATGTTGCTGAAAAGTTTGGTGTCGACACTACCCAGATCAAATATGCCATCCGTACAAAGCTGAACAACGAGGACAAGCTGCTGAAGAAGAGGTTGGGGCTGGTTAAAACTGAAAACAGAGCATCTGTTGATCAAACTTTCTGCCAAGATGCTTCGATTCTGTCTAGAAATGATGCAATGGCAAATGACTCCGTGTTCTAGTGGACTGTATTACTGTCTAATCTCATTGTTGCCTTTTCTTTAACCAAGTTAACTTACTCCCATATTAAGCTGCTTATTTTTTTAGTTTGATAGCTCTTAGTTGATTATTTAGTGTCTGAAAAGCTGGTAACACTATGAAATGTCACATATATACACTGTAACAAATTGCTGTAAAAAAAAACGGCCAAAACTGAACAGTATCATACTGTTTCTATTGAAATCGGTACTGCACCGTGACAAACAATGCATTCTGGGCAATTATTACCGTTTTCAATAAAATACTGTAGTATACTGTGAGTAGCATTGCATTTTGGAAATGATTTTAGATTCAACGGTAAGGAGGCTGTCTTTAAACAGAACGCTACAGTATTTCTGAAGAAGACATGTTGTTGTGACATGTTGAAGCAACCGCTAGAACTTTCTTTACAAGGACTATCCATTTGAATCCTGCATTTTATGAGCCAATCCTAAGGTAAGTTATTTTTGATGATTCATATTTACAAATATTGACATGTTTGGAAGCTCTTTTTCTTTCTTTTGTGTAATTTAACTTGAATTGCTATGATTAGCTGCTAAAGTGAAATTGGTGAATGCTAGCAACTGGGAATTTGGAGTTTCACAGAGTTGACTTGGCAGAAAATTGTTTAAATGTTATGCTGGTGTCTTTTTATTAACTCTTAACATTCAAAAGTTTGTCTTCACCTAGCACACATTAAACCCTGACTCCTTAATCTGAAATTACGGCATTTTCAGGCGCTTTCTTGATATCAACTCGGACCAAGGCCAGCTGTAGCAAGATCATCTCCAAGAGGACAGGGAAAACTTTTCAAAAGAAGTCGGTCACTGTCATCCCTCGTGTTTCAACTCTGCTGAAAAACCTCATGGACTTTGAGTGGAATTTCATAGTGAGAACTTTCTAACCAAGCTATAGATATTGTTGCCCCTCCACGCAAAAAACAAACAAAAAACTATACAGCCATGAAGGCAACTTATCCCTGAACAGGAGTGTTCTTGAGAGATTTTTTTGGTTTAAAGGTCAGCATAATCTTAAGACATCTCTTTTAATTAAGAGCATACATTTTGTTAAGGCTCCCACTTTCTGTTCTTCAGATGTAATTTTGACTGTACAGGCACCATGTTTAACTTATCTTGGCAGTGTGTTGTCAAATATTGTTTCACTGTTTTATATTTTGAAGTTGGAGCTCTGCACTGTAACAAATTGCTGTTAAAAACGGCCAAAACGTAACAGTATCATAGTGTTTCTATTGAAAACGGTACTTCACAGTGAAAAACTGCATTCTGGGCAATTATTACTGTTTTTAATGAAATACTGTAACATACTGTGAGTAGCATTGCATTTTGGGAATGATGTTAGAACATCTTGTCAAAGTAAATCAGCTGTTTACTTATCTTGAGTTGAATCGAATAATAAGTCACTTACATTATCTTGATAATGATGCCACCAGCAAACCTTGTGAGGTTAATCCCAACAGTGAGAAACTTAGTGGCCATGCTGGGCAAAACTGTGTTTGCTAAGAATGTTGCCAGTCTTGATTGGGAAGAAAATAAAAAGCCCAGCAAATAATGAAGTGTGGCAACTGATTTTACAACTCAGAGAGATTGTGGAGTTAATCTGCACCTCGTATTTCGACTGGTCAGATAGCAAGTTTAAGAGTGCGTATTGACGAATATTTGTATTTCAGACTACACATGTTTCCTGATTACCCAATGAAGCCCAAGCATCATTATCTCTGTCATTATCCAGAGCTTATTTTGCATTTTGGACCACTCATTCGTTTGTGGACGTTAAGATTTGAGAGTAAACTTACATACTTTAAACAATGTGCAAGAAAGTTGCACAATTTTAAGAACCTTTCCTCAACTCTTGCAGAGAGACATCAGCTTCTTCAGGCTTTGAGTGCAGGTAACTTTTTCCCACCAGCTGTTGTAGTTGATAAGGGTACATAATTTGTGTTGGAGGACTACAATGATGACATCAGAGAATCAGTTGCACATCACACTTTTGAATCTGAAAACACTCTCATTGCCCATGAGGTGAATGTTAAGGGTACAAAATACAAGAAGAATATAGTCGTTGTGATTGCTGATTGTGAGGAGGGGTACATTGTAGGAAAAATTTAAGTAATACTCATCCATAGAAATTCAGAAGTGCATTTCATCAGTGAAAAATTTCTTGCTGTTCGTCTCCCTGAAATGGGTGTTTATTATATTTCACAAAATTATAAAAGCTATTGCTGTGTTAAACAAAATGACTTGCTTGATTACTATCCTTTGACTGAGTACACCGTCGATGGCATGGAATTACTAGTTCTTCATCATGCTATCCTCTTATTGTAGATCAATGTCTACATTACATGAAGAAATCCAGAGCATCATCCTCAAGGCATTGCCAAATCTTTCAGAGGAAACTCAAAGTCTACTTATTTCAAGACTTCAAGCTTCTGGATTGGAGTCAAAAGGGGACTTGAAATATGTCCAACAAGAAGACATGGCTGACCTATTGCCTGTTATTCAGCTCCGGAAACTGTTGGACGCATTTAAATCAGGTAATGCTTAAATGTTCAGTAGCCATAAGGTAAATTTGTGCAATTTTCATGTGATTCAATCTTTTTTCCAAATTGCTGTCTTTATATCATAATTGACAAACTTTTCTTTGATTTAGAGACAGAGGTGGTCATTCCAGATCTCCAGAGTCATCCATGCCCTACACCACTGTCCAGCCAATCACTGCTAGAATGTAGTTTGCCACCATCCAGCCCATCAACTTCCTTGTCTGACTGCAGCACTCCAAGCAACAGCAGTTCTCCATTCCTCATATCCAAAACTTGGCCAGAAACATTCCAAGTCCCTTGGGACAAAATGCCACTGGAGATTTGTTCAGCCATTGCCAATAAAAAGAGACCAAACCCCGCAGAGCGCCGGCAGATGGTGAGAGTACTCGTTGATGAAATGAGGAAACATGATGCTAACCCCACACGTTCTCAGTGTCTCACAGTTTGTCGAAATATTGTGAGGCAGTACCCCCAGAGTTTTGCCGATGTTTGTGCAGATGGCTCACTTATAGCAGGAGGTTATACTTCACTGCTTATACAAGTAAAAACACGTATTGAAAATTTGAATCGTGATGGTAACTTTGCACGCCACCGTGCTTCAAGGTCTTCTGGGTGGAGCTTTGGCTGCAAGAGGGGGCCCACTGACTCATATGGATGCACCAGATTTCAGCCTGAACTTCCACCGGAAGAGACTGATGACACAATTGAACAAAAACGCCAAAGATTGGAGGAGATATATAGACAAGAAGGTGCACGTGGCATTGAAAGAGCAGAGGTCAGTAGTCTTATGGAGATCACATTCTGTCTACAACGTCGCCATATTAACAGAATTCCAGCTCCTGCCATTGAGGATCTCAGACGTGACTGGCCATACCTCTTCCATCAGAGGAGCATCTATGCTCATTTTCAGCTTCTAACAGACCGTAATGTTTTGCGTCTCCTTGAGCTTTCCATGGAGGAATGTGGGAGACCAATCATAGAATACTTCCAAAGCAAATCCACAAACAAAGCGACTTTCTGTCAGGATGAAGATGCTGAGGTGGCACTTCATGTTGTCCAGCTACTGATGGCCCATTTCAAAGAGAGCACAGATGGCCTCATCCTTTCCACAGATGTTAGTTTTGTTAATTTATTTTCATAATATTTATTCTGATATATTTCACTGAATTGTTGACATCTGAATTCATCCTTAGGAACTAATGTTCTTACTGAAATTTCTTTGATCTGTACAGTCATCTGCCACAGTGAGTGATGTTGAGAAGACCTTTGAGCTGCCTTTGACACCACGCCTGATACTACTCTGTGAGTGCACTGTTAACTGACATGGACTGCAAAGTTTCAGTGACTATATGTAGTTTTCAGTCCTTGAATTATAATACAACCTGACATGACAGATAGTAGGTCACCTTACCTCAAAAAGAAATTTCTGCAAAAATGTTTTCTGCAGCCCAAAGTGAGTATTTAGTGTAACCTGTGTATAATTGTCTACAAAACACACAAAAAAGCTTCAGGTTGATTATTTTGGGGTTTTTGGGGGGTTAAGCATAACATGCATCCAATTACAATTCCATTCAAAAAGCCAAAGATCAAAGAATTTAACAGATGGAAAAATTACAATTTTGTTTTACATTAAATGAATAGAAAAATAGAAGAAAAAAATGAAATAATCAAGAGAAGTTGATCACAAAACAGCTTTCAAAGATAACCTACTAATTGGTATCTAGTTTTCCCAAGAGTTCACGATAAGCTAAGTGGCAACAGAGATCACTTACGGTTAGGTCAATATCAACTTTGCCTGTAGAAACTTTTTTTTAAAGATTTAGCTCATATGTTCTTAGGTTGTCAGTAGACATCGTAAGAAAGATGACCTAACTGGAGAATGAATAAAGATGGCCATAACTTTGCAAAGAAAAACCAAACTCATTGTGGCTTAAGATTTTTAGGACAATAATACGATACAATAACATGCAGATGAGACAAGGTTTTGATTTATTTGTATTGCATGAAACAAGATCTGTAAATGAATGTTGTTTTAGAAATAATGGTAAAGGTAATTTGTAGTAGTCACAATACTTGTTCTAATGTTATTTTATTTTTCAGGTGGAAAAGACCATGTCACTGCTGGGCACTGGATGATCAGTCTTGAGAGCCATGTTGTATGTGAGGGCATTCAACCAACCTTTGTGACAGGGCTTGCTGCACTGTTTTCAATGTACTACATCCTTAATTTACAATATCAAGAAGAGGCTGCATGTACACTTGAATTCATCCAGAGGTAAGGTTTGTGTCCGCCTGTCCGTCCCACCTTTTCCCACCTATCACTCATTAAACCCTGACTCCTCAAGCATCATATGCCAATCTGAAATTACTGCATTTTCAGGCGCTTTCTTGATATCAACCCTGAAAGAGGGACCAAGGCCAGCTGTGGCAAGATGGTCTCCAAGAGGACAGGAAAAACTGTTCAAAAGAAGTCTGTCACTGTCAACCCACGTGTGTCAAGTCTGCTAAAAAACCTAATGGACTTAGTCTAGATATTGTTGCCCCTCCGCACAAATTTTATTTATTTATTTTTTTTTAAAGGTCAGCATAATCTTAGACATGTCTTTTGATTTATAGCATATATTTTGTTAAGGCTCCCACTTTCTGTTCTTCAGATGTAATTTGTAATTTTGACTGTACAAGCACAATGCTTAACTTATCTTGGCAGTGTGTTGTCTGAGCAATGTTTGAGTTTTTTTTTTTTTTTTCAAAATAAATGTTGGTTGACATGATGGAACTTACATTTTCTAAGTGTTTTTTTTATGTTTCTATTTTGAATTGGAAATTTACAGTAGTAAGCTGTATGTGAATTCAACAGTAATGGTACCATAGAAAAACTAATATACTGGCAACACTGCTGCCAGTAGTCTACTGTAAAAATACAGGGCAATTTGTTAGATTGTAGAAAAACGGTAATATACTGGCAACACAGCTGCCAGTAGTCTACTGTAAATCTGATTAAAAACAGCAATGTGCTGTAATCAAAAGATTTCTTTTGTGACGGTAATATACTGTAGTTGATTACAGTAAGGGTACTGTATATTAACGGTATAATGCTGGCAACCCTGCTGCCAGCATTTTACTGTAAAAATACAGGGCAATTTGTTACAGTGTGGGCTTCATTGGGTAATCAGGAAACATGTGTAGTCTGAAATACAAATATTCGTCAATACGCACTCTTAAACTTGCTATCTGACCAGTCGAAATACGAGGTGCACAGATTAACTCCACAATCTCTCTGAGTTGTAAAATCAGTTGCCACACTTCATTATTTGCTGGGCTTTTTATTTTCTTCCCAATCAAGACTGGCAACATTCTTAGCAAACACCAGTTTTGCCCAGCATGGCCACTAAGTTTCTCACTGTTGGGATTAACCTCACAAGGTTTGCTGGTGGCATCATTACCAAGATAATGTAAGTGACTTATTATTCGATTCAACTCAAGGTAAGTACACAGCTGATTTACTTTGACAAGATGTTTTACAAACAACGCAAGATCAGATGATACAATCTCTTCAAAAAGATCATGGCCAAGACAAGGTGGTAATCCTGGCTGGCATACATGAAAATAGTTCAGATCATGGAAGATGGAGTCAAACTTGACACCTCCACTTACAGCTGAATCTCCATCACTGCTCTGAGCATGATCTTTGTATGACTGTGCAGTTCGATCAGTACCCTTGGAAAGAGGATCAGACTCAAATGATTTTCTGTCAATTTCACAGTACCTACAAAAATGTGAGCTCCGACTGAAATTCTCAACAAAGCCCCCAATGTTGTGTGAACCAAGGTTGTCACCAGCAATAGCGCACAAGGTTCCTTTGCATGAAGTTCCATCTGGCATTTTAATGCCACTCTCCTCAAGATCTTTCAGGTGTTTTACAAGGGAACCCATGACTAAATCTTGACCAAAATATTTAAAATCCTGCTCTTTACAAAGCAGAACAAGTTGCATGTGATCAATGCTTGATCTGTTCTGAAGCAAAATATCAGCAAGAGTAAGGTATACTGCAAGTATCTTGTGTTTTTTCTTGCCAGACCCTAACGGGTTTACCACTTCAAATGAGTCTTGGTATAAGATCAAACCAAGTGATGAGGTCTCTGACTTGAACAACAAGTTCTCCTTAATATTAGCACCATCCCATACATCTTGAAAAACATTTCAGTGTGTTGGTATTGCAAGCCCTCAATAAATCTTCAGTTTTCAGGCCATCAATAATTGTTATTATGTCAGATTCTGAGATTCCAAGTGCAACCATTTTTTCCCTAAGTTTGAAAAGCATGTGTGACTGGCTGATATCATGTATTTCTTGAAAACCTTCAAGAATTGACTGGATAACGGAGGATGGAGGCAACAACTTAGCTTGTAGTTTGAGGTAGAAGAGGGCTACATTTTTCAAAAACTGTGTGGCGTCAACATTTTCTGGGCAGACATCTGACTGTTCACTGCATGCATCACTAGGAACAGTAAGATCCATATCACTCAACTGGTCCCCTTCAGTACAGCCATGTGAAGTATCAATCAATCAATCAATCAATCAAATTTTATTTGTATAGCACATTTCAGCTACAAGGCATTTCAAAGTGCTTTACATCATAAACACAAAGGCATGCAACATAGAATAAAATACCAAGGTTTTTTTTTTTTCCCCTCTTTTTTCCCTTTCTTCCCCCTTCCCTTTGACACGGAATTTAAGCGCCTGTTACCGCCGGACTCCGCCGTCTGTTTAACCACGGGTATTTGCCGGGCCCCGTTGCCCACACAGGAAAAAAAAAATAAAAATTACATACATATCCACAAAATCAAATCCATACATATTACATTTCAAATGCAACTCTAAACAGGTGCGTTTTTACTTGAGATTGACACCTCCACTTACAGCTGATTTTACAACTGAAGCTCCCACAACAGAACCAAGTAGATCATCCTCAGAACTGTGCCAATTTGACTTGAATCATAGCAATTCAAGTCAAATTGCACAAAAAGAAAAAGAGCTTCCAAACATATTATTTGTAAATAGAAATCATCAAAAAATAACTGAGTAACAATAAAAATGGATTCCTTTATTTTTCAGCCTTCTTATCTACAAGATATATCAAATAATGTTAGCTAGCTTCCTTATTACGGCATGACAGATTAACTAAGCTAACTTTCAAACAGCTACAGCAGGGGTGGGCACTCCTGGTCTTCGAGGGCCAGTGTCCTGTAACTCTTGGTTGTCTCCCTGATCCAACACACCTGAATCCAATAGCTGAATCACCTCCTAAATGCAATCAAGTTCTCCAGAGACCTGCTAATGACCTCCTTATTTGACTCAGGTGTGTTGAAGTAGAGATACATCTAAAAGTTGCAGGAGACCGGCCCTTGAGGACCTGGAGTGCCCACCCCTGAGCTACAGTCTGCTTAAAAATGACAACTGCATGACAACATCATCTGACAAATAAATTATGCTCCAACTTACCTTAGGATTGGCTCATTCAATGCAGGATAGAAATGGATAGTCCTTGGAAAGAATATTATACAGGTTGCTTCCGCATGTCACAAAGACGTGTCTTCTTGAGAAATACAGTAGAGTTCTGTTAGGGGCGGGCACTCCAGGTCCTCGAGGGCCGGTCTCCTGCAACCTTTAGATAACCCAACACACCTGAGTCAAATAATGAGGTCATTGGCAGGACTCTGGAGAACTTGATTGCATTTAGGAGGTGATTCAGCTATTGGACTCAGGTGTGTTGGATCAGGGAGACAACCAAGAGTTGTCCACCCCTGTAGACTTGCAGTTGAATAATCTAATATCATTCCCAAAATGCAATGCTACTCACAGTATGTTACAGTATTTAATTAAAAACAGTAATAATTGCCCAGAATGCAGTTTTTCACTGTGAAGTACCGTTTTCAATAGAAACACTATGATACTGTTACGTTTTGGCCGTTTTTAACAGCAATTTGTTACAGAGCAGAGCTCCAACTTCAAATGATAAAACAATGAAACAATATTTGACAACACTGCCAAGATAAGTTAAACATGGTGCCTGTACAGTCAAAATTACATCTGAAGAACAGAAAGTGGGAGCCTTAACAAAATGTATGCTCTTAATTAAGAGAGATGTCTTAAGATTATGCTGACCTTTAAACCAAAAAAATCTCTCAAGAACACTCCTGTTCAGGAATATGTTGCCTTCATGCCTGTATAGTTTTTTTTGTTTGTTTTTTACGTGGAGGGGCAAAAATATCTATAGCTTGGTTAGAAAGTTCTCACTATGAAATTCCACTCAAAGTCCATGAGGCTTTTCAGCAGAGTTGAAACACGGGGATGACAGTGACCAACTTCTTTTGAAAAGTTTTCCCTGTCCTCTTGGAGATGATCTTGCTACAGCTGGCCTTGGTCCGAGTTGATATCAAGAAAGCGCCTGAAAATGCAGTAATTTCAGATTAGCATATGATGCTTAAGGAGTCAGGGTTTAATGTGTGCTAGATGAAGACAAACTTTTGAATGTTAAGAGTTAATAAAGAGACACCAGCATAACATTTAAACAGTTTTCTGCCAAGTCAACTCTGTGAAACTCCAAATTCCCAGTTGCTAGCATTCACCAATTTCACTTTAGCAGCTAATCATAGCAATTCAAGTTAAATTACACAAAGAAAGAAAAAGAGCTTCCAAACATGTCAATATTTGTAAATATGAATCATCAAAATAACTTACCTTAGGATTGGCTCATAAAATGCAGGATTCAAATGGATAGTCCTTGTAAAGAAAGTTCTAGCGGTTGCTTCCACATGTCACAACAACATGTCTTCTTCAGAAATACAGTAGCGTTCTGTTTAAAGACAGCCTCCTTACCGTTGAATCTAAAATCATTCCCAAAATGCAATGCTACTCACAGTATACTACAGTATTTTATTGAAAACTGTAGTAATTGCCCAGAATGCATTGTTTTTCACGGTGCAGTACTGTTTTCAATAGAAACAGTATGATACTGTTCAGTTTTGGCCGTTTTTTTACAGCAATTTGTTACAGTGCACAGTTTCAGATGATAATTGAAGTGAAAGTCTTCTTATAATTATGTCAGTAGAATAAAATCCAGTATATTCTCTGTTTGTTTTTATTTTTCTTCTCAGTCAACTGATGTCAGTAGTAAGTCTTGTTTGACCACTGTGTTTAAGGTCACATGACCTTTTGTCTCTCACTGTCTGATATTAAATAAACTTTTTCTGCTTTAGATTAGTTGGGGTTCTTAAATTATATATATTTGCTAAATGTAAGTTGCACCAGTCTCTTGTGTTTTTGTGCAGCAAAATACGGACAAAACAAAACAAACCTCTGCCCAGTTTAGTTGGTAAACTGGTAAACTTGGAAGCTTCAACTTATTTAATTCAATTGTAGCACCGGCTGTTATGGCCAGACATTTCCTCTTTAGTTTAGGACATGTCACCAGAAATTAAGATTTTTGTCTTTGAGTTCATTTTCAAACTAACCTCCTTTTTTATTGCCACTTTGGGAATAATTACTTTTATTGGCTTGATCTACTGGACAATGACACTCACTTATTAACTTTTTCACAAGTTTTTTATTTTATTTTTTTGCTTTTGCGCCAGTGTGACACATATTTCACACTAAAATACATTCACCTCATGGACACATGGAAGGGCTCAACTCGGTGACATAGAAACAATCTCCATCTGGAAAGATCTGATTAACATTTCCGTGCTGTTTGTACTTGGATATAATGGTAAATGTGGCACATTCAGGCATTTGGATTTCACTTCCAAGGATTAAAAAGACCTGTGTAGATCCATAATAATCTTGTTGACGACTTGACTGATTTCTTCAACTTTTTCCACTGTGTCATCCCAAATGTGTTGCTTTTAAAAACGCCCTGAGGTGTGTCTCTGGTTAATTGAAATGTTGAGAATGAAGCTTTCAGAATCTGGTGGTAACCCTGAGAAGCTAACCAATCCTCCAGTACCCTCACTCACTCTGGAGCTATGGTGAGAATAAAGGATTATGTGTGACCATGATCCCAGTATACAGTTTGCAACAGTCGCCGCCACATGCAGATGGATGAAAGCGTGAGTGTCACTGGATAGAGGAGGTTTGGTGCGCTCATCTCCTCTTGAAAGAAGGGATTTGAGGTGATCACCAGCTGATAGCTCCTCCCTCTTCTGTCCCTGCAGCTGTCTGAGTCTCCTGAGTCAGTTCTCAGTTCATTGCCTCTCACACTGGTGGCATCAGCGGTCCCTCAGGTCATATGTTCCTTTTTTAAGGAATCTTTTTTTGCCAAAGATTTTAACACCTCTGAAGACTTTTGGGCAGCAGAAAGGCACATGGAAGGGCTCAGCCATGCAAGAACTTCTCACGGGACCAAGGCTCAGTTATAAAATGTAAGATTTATAACTTTTTTGTTTTGTGCAGCCATTTTTTTGAAAATGAAAGTTGGAACTAATGAGCTTTTTAGAGCAAATTTGGACTCTAAAAATTGTAACTTTTCACTTTTACAAACTGAAAAGTGTTTTCAGTTTGTGATATGCATATATAAAATATTTTACATATGTTTGTGAAATACTTTGTATGAGATCTGGAATATCATTTTAAAATGATGTGTCCAAAAGTCTATCTTCTAAAACTAGAAAATTAATAATAAATACCTTAATAAAACTGCTTATGCATTTAAATTATGTTTATGTCTTATTTTATAATTTACATCTAGGATTGATCTTTTGAATTTATTGTGAGCAGTGTGATGATGTGTCCTTTTTAATACACTTTACTTTTAAAACTATGTTTTACATTGCAAATAATTGTATTTCAGTATTGTCCTGTTGCTGCTTTTGATATTAATTTAAACTTAAATAAGAAAACAAATTCAATTTATAGCTGAAGATTTCTATGATCTATTTTCCACCTATTTAACTTACTAGTGGGTTATCTTTTTTACTAAAACATTTATTAATCAATTAAATTTATTCATAAAAATTAATACTTTTTTTTCTTATTTCAATAAAATCGGTGTCCATTTTCAGGTTTCAGTTTATACCAAAGATACAGTGTCTTTATAATTCTAGATACATTCAACCTAAACTGTTGATTTTGGGCATAATTGAAGCATCTTGGAGAGCATTAAGTCCAATCAGCTCTTGCATGGATTTAAAGAATTGCATAATTCTTTGAAGCCAGTAAAAATGTGTGAATTTTATTTCTATAAAATAATTTCTGCCCATAAAAAAGAAAAAAAATGAAATAGACTTGACGCCTTCAGTGTATGTTGGTCTGCAATGAGAACATGTCTGTTATGAGAACAACCTTACATAATATGAGGATGTACAGTTTTAAGTCCCCATGCTGGGGGATAAACCTTTGCAGAACTGGCATGCCACTCACTGTCCACCAGAGAAGATTACAGCAGCAGAGAACATCAGCCCTTGCATTTAGGACACTCTGTCTCAAATATGAAACCCAAATATGATTTTCAAAAGCAAGACGCATGCAAATGCTGAGATCCACATAAAGAGGATCCTGAAGCAGACACTGCATGTAAAAGTGTAAACATTACATTTAACTTCTACTTGATGACTAGTCCCACTTTACAGTGTTTTCTATGTCGTTTTGTTGTTTTGTGAATCAAAGAGGATCCTCTTTGATGTTATGATGAGGGTCACACAGTAATCACTGTACTGCTAGCCGTGCAGCTGGACTGAAACAAGAACACTCATTATCTCTCATTTCTGAAGAATGGGGATGGATGGAGGAGAGTCAGCGTCCCCCATGAATTATTCCTATTGATCATGTTTTGCCCTCCTTAAAGAAAGTCAGTGTGTCCCTTACTTAATCGTCCTAAAACTAATGTTGACAGTTTCTTTGTTTCTTTTTTTTTTTTGCATATTGAGAACTTAATAATCTGCCAGCACATCAAAAACAAACTTTTTTTGTTTCGGATGTGCTTCATTAAACTCTGAAGCAGCTATGACATGGTAAATTCTTCCTAGACATCAAAGATTTTTGAAATTTACAGCATATTATTCACAGTATTCACAACCAACATTTCAAATATATCCGATGCCTTTCCTGTTCATCTAGATTTGGTTTTCATTTCTACGTAACAAAAAGTGATATAATTTTTAATCTTGAAGCAAAGATTTCTGAAAACAGACTTCTTAACAGTAAAAAAATAGATTTTAGATATCTACAATTTCATTGTTGTTACTGATTAACCAAAGCTAATTTTAAACATCCAGTATGTAAAACTGTTTTATATAATTATACTTCATCTCAGTTTTGCGAAACAATAAACAAAAGAGGAAAAGCATCACTGGCATTTTCCATGATTCATATTATGACTTAAAAAGAATTTAGTGATTACAGATTATAATTGAAGTTACGTGAATCCAGAAGTGGATGGATTGGCCTTTGGACTCCATGAGGGAAGTGGGTGAAAGGAGGATGTTAGCCAAGTTGTTTTCATTTACGGAAAATTTCTCTCAGCTCCTGCATCACACTTTGGAGCAACTTCTCTAGCAACAAACTATGGCCCAGACAGCAACATCCTGACTGTTCATTGTTATTAGTTTCAATATTTCTACATCAGAAGTATAACATACATATTCACCAAGTAGGGAATACAGGGGAAATCAAAATACATGGAAACCAAATGTTTCCATGTAGCAAGTTGATGAGAGGAAGTTTTAATATTAAAAGCAAACAACTTCATCCCATGTTTTTTAAAGTCTAAGTTAAACATATAAACATATCAACAAAGTTTATTTTCATGGAAATATGCAGTGCTACTGAAATCAAGAAACATGTCAAAACAATAAAATTTGTTGTCATTTAAATACATACATTCAAGATATCTAAAATGCTACGTGTGACAATAGATTCATTTCGTTGGGATTTTTTAATAACACGCTTTTGTTTTATATAATCCAATTGTGCTCTATCTGAAAGCACTGACTTTTAAACATAAAGGACAGCAGTATGCACATGTTAAGTTTTGTGAATGTTTTAAATTTCTGTTCTGTTTACTATTTATGTGAAATTAATTAAAAAAGTGCCTAAAGAACCTTTTTTATTCTTCTTTTCAGGAGTGAAGAAATTTTTATTTCTAAGACATCTTTGGAGCTGACGACAGAGGAATGGGGAAAACAGGTGTACAGACATTTTCTTTGAAACTTTTAATATGAATGATGGAGGAGTCAAGCACTGCTTTAACCTCAGAATATAATGAGAGCACCTCAGAATGGGCACCCATGCCGTCTGCTCCCAGCAAGCAGCTGGGCACACTTCCCAACCCGCAGACTCGATTCAAAGACCTGACAGGACTGCTTTTCATGGTGACCCTGAACGTTCTCGCACTTCTGGCCAATACTGCAGTGATGGTAGTCGTTATCAAAGCCCCTCATCTCAGGAAATTTGCCTTCGTGTGCCACCTCTGTGCAGTGGACCTGCTGTGCGCCATCTTGCTCATGCCTCTCGGCATCGTGTCCAGTTCGCCGTACTTCGCTGAGGTTGTGTTTACTATGCTGGAGTGCCAGATCTATGTCTTTCTTAATGTAATCCTCATAGCTGCCTCTATCTTCACCATCACAGCCATCAGTGTGGAAAGGTACTACTATATTGTCCACCCCATGCGCTATGAGGTCAAGATGACCCTGAAGCTGACTTTGGCTGTTGTGTTGATGGTATGGGTGGCTTCGGCCATTCTGGGCTTTTCCACCGTTTTCGGATGGCCGTCTTATGGCCAGAAGTCCATCAGTGCTGCACACTGCTCACTTCACTGGAGCCACAAGGACCACAGGCGTATTTTCTCTGCTCTCTTCAGCGTCACCTGTTTTTGTCTGCCAGCTGTGGTGATCTTTGCTGTTTACTGCAATGTGTACAAGGTGGCCCGAGTGGCAGCACAGCAGCATGGGCCTCTGCCCTCATGGACGAACACTCAGGTCAAGCATCGCTCAGACTCCATAAACAGTCAGACGACCATCATCACAACTCACCACGTTCCTCACAGGACAACAAGAGATCGGTCTTTTATTGGCAGTAAAGCTGCTCTAACCCTCATGATTATTGTTGGTCAGTTTCTAATCTGCTGGCTGCCTTACTTTGCCTTCCACCTCCATCTGATACTGAACTTAAAACCTCACACCCCTAATGACTTGGAGGTAGTGGTGACCTGGTTGGCGTATTCTTCCTTTGCTATGAATCCTTTCTTTTATGGACTTCTAAACAGACAGATCCGTGAGGAGCTGTGCAAGTTGAAGCGTTGCTACTCAACTTACCCAACAGACCCGGCCTTTTCCAGTCACGAGGGCTCAGGCCATGAAAACTTCCTGCAGTTCCTCTATAGGACCAATTGCACAATAGAGACAGGTGCAAGCTTTGCAATGCCCAGTCCCAGAACCACTCTGGATCAAACTGGCCAGACTGGTTTCAGGATACCAGGTCAGATTCCAGAAGAGTTGAACTAGATGTACCTCACAGCTTTGACATGATGTTAATAACCTGCTGGATTATAGAAGTCATATAGGACAGCATGATTTAATTACTTCCAGCAAAGCTTCACACTTAAACATAAAAAACAAAATTTGTTGTGTCTTTTAAAACTAGATACTGTACTCGTTGATCTGTAAAAGCTCTGAAATTATCAAAAAGTAATTTATGCTTTTCCAAATTAACTTTACTTTTATAAACTTGTTTAAGCTACAACTTAGTAGTTCTAGTTTCAAAAAGAGGGGGACTGTGTATATAATATTATTAGTTAAGAAGTCTGAATCAGTCAATAGGTTTACATACAAATCATAGATCTTGTAGATTGGATTCAGGATCTACTTATTAAAAGTGGATGGCTGTTCCTTTTGTAAAAATATATTTACAGCCAAAAGTAAACATATTATTTTATACTTTCATTTAAATACAAGCAATATTCTGCAAGTTATTACTTGATCATTTGTATTTGTTTCAAACAATGTAAAAAACCCAAGTATGTTTAAGCATTTTTCTTTTCCTATGAATTTAATGATTATAGTAGGGCTGTGATCTTTTATATAATCATATCAATCTGTTTTTTTTAGATGGTTTTTCTAAAAACAGTTTATCATGCACCTTAGTATATCTCTCTTTAGCTTATACAGTCAGAATTTATAATTTAATTTGTAATATACATATATATATTTTCTACATAGCAGCAATAAACAGTCCTATATAATCTCTTTTAGTGAACATGTTGATATAGTGTACAACAGTTAAAATTGAATTTGGATGGTAGCATTTTCATTTGTAGAATGATCCAGTCAAATTCCAGACCAAAGTTCAATTGAGGTCATTTGGCAAAAGTAAACAATTGCTGTATTCAGGCACTTACATCTAATTTTACTGAGCTTGAATTATTTTGAAAAGAACAGGCTTAAGATGTGTAAACCTGGTAAAAACATGCCCAAGCAGACTTGTAGCTGTAATTTCAATAAAAGGTGGTTGTTCCGAGTATTTACGTTAAATAAAAATCCTCCACACACTTTTCAGATTTTTATTTGTGAGAGATTCTTATGCCATGTTATCTTTTCCATCTACTTTACAGTTATGTGCTAATTTATGTTTGTCTATCCAGTGAAAACACAATAAAAATGATAATTTTCCAGAACTCTGTATGTGTTTTGATGTCATTTCTATATTCTCATGTGATTTTAACTGTAGTCAAAAACATAGCTTGATGACAAACTTTGTAGCTTAAAGTATATACAACTTATGAACAATAGCACAAACAATTTATTGTCTTTAGTAACTGTTAGAATATTTCTGGATTTCATGGTGAGTATTATAATAGTTTTGACAAAATGTAAACAGCAGCGCTGCCTAATTTCTGTGAAATATTTCATCTTTGTAATGAAAAGCTCAGTGGCCTGTAACCTGAATTTTATGTGTTTACTTGTAAAAGGTCTGTGATCAAAACTGAGCCTTGTTAACACATGGTTATGTAAGCAGAAAATGCCATTTTGTAACAGATGATGTGAGTGTTTTTGTTGCCCATTTGTGTGGAGCGACATAAGCACATCTTAGAGTTCCTTTTTTATAGTTGTGTCATATTGATAAGTTTTTTTTATTGCAATATTATTGGATTCACCGCTGCATTAGTCAAGTTTTCTTATGAAAACAGATTGCTGTCACAGCTGCTGATGTCTGTGCAGTGAAGTCTGTCTCTGTGCCACACAGATTAGGTTTAGAGGATAACATCAGCCAGACACACTAGTCTAGACTGACAAATAGAATGAGCATGCTCGGCTAAATTTGTGCAAATCCTGTAACTTCCCAGGGATGTTCTCAAAAAATGGTTCAGAAATAACTTGATTACATATTGCGTTATGTAAAATTGCGTTTTGCTTTTATGGGATATTAAACAGAAATAGTTGTGCGTGTCAAGGGTGAGGCCAGAACGTCCGACAGGCATTGAAAAAAAAGAAAGAAAAAAATACATGTACAAACACACTTGTACAAACAGTGACTAAGATGCCTTTTTATTGACTTCTGGATGTGTTCAACACAAGATAACACTGCACCATTTTATGGTGTCTAGCTGCAAACAAATCCATGTAAGTGCTGAAGAGAGCTACCAGAACAGCTCTGTTGATGACAGTGTAGCAGAGTGCTGTTATCAAAGGCAGTACAATAAAATGAACATTACAAATATAATCTGATTTTCCAACAGAGGTTTGCTTTAGCAACACAATTCTAGAAGCACCGCATCCTGATGTCAGAAGTTCACATGATCCTTTTGACCTTTAATTATGCATTTGAACCATTCATCTAAAAAAAAATTATCAATAATTTAAAACACAATTTTGAACTTGCCAGGAGCTTAAACATTCAGACTGATTTAATAGTGAAAAAGAATAAATAAATAAAAATAAAAAAATAGAAAATGGACAGAAAAAGACAGAGCAACAGACTAATGAACACAAATCCAAAGGATTTGAGTTAAAACACAAAATAAAATTATCTACAAATCCAAATATGAACAGGTACAACATATAGCAAGTAAACAAAACAAACATAGAAAAGAACAGAAGAAAAGTATTTGGGAACATCGAGATTTTGGAGAACACAATTGTGTCCAAAATTTCCTCCATCTGGCCATTGTGTTTAATTAAAGTTGGTGAATGTGGAGGTAGTCCTTCTTTATATTATCGCATCTATTTCTTTACCAATCATCAGTCTTTCTGGAAGCAAAACAGTCCCACAGCATGATGTTGACACCACTATTCTTCTCACCAAACTTTAACTCACTTGAAGGTGTTGATGTTGTAGCATTGCCCATGCTGCATTGGCCGCCATTGTCTCGTTCCATATAGATGGGAAACGTAATAATAACCTCACAGGTTTGATGCTAAGCAGTTCTTCTGTCTGACCTTAACTATAGGAAAATTACTTAAAGGCAGGTTAATGTGAGAAAACCAACAAATCCCTTACTTCTAAATGTGACTCTGTTTTGGTACGTCTGTAATTTACTACAAGCTAATTGAATCGAAATTGATGTACTCTGAATAGGAATTCAGAGTACATCAAACATAAACCCCATCCTTCAGAGAACAAGACTTTATGTTTTGAGCGTGATTGACTGTGGCTGTACTTAACACTAAATCTAAGGAAACGGTCTAATCTTCTTGTGATGCCTGTTTAATTTAAAACTTGATGAGCTGCTCTATTGCACATAACGATGAATAATGCACAGTAGAGGTGATGAGACAGTCACTCTTGAGGATTCAAAGGGAAAGAAGGTGATTGATGTTGCTGTCTGAAGGAGTGAATAACATTGTTTTCTCAGACCCTCAAATGGACTGAGCAAATATAAAACATGACAGTCTGTAAAGTATCTTAGCTCAGGTTTGTAATCTCACAACAGAGATTATAAACTTGGGTGAACTTGAACAGCAATATTTTGCATTTTAGAAAATAATTTTTGAAGAATTTTGGCTAATAACTTGAGAAACCTCATCAATGATTTTCAAGTTTTAGCCGTAAACATGGATTCTGACTGCTGTAGGAATTTCACAAAATAACTTGATTTCAAAGAATAGAAAAGGAGCCATGTTGTCTACAAAGTTTTAGATGATCTTGTTCTATGCGTTGGACATTTGGAAAACCCAAATTGTAAAAATGATTAACAGTTAACAATGGCAAGACATTATACAACTCATATAACCTCATGACACATGTTAAAATCCAAAACTACAGAACAACTGATAAGGATTTGTTTGTCACGTGTAACTTATTAGTTGGATCTAATAAGCATTCTGTAAAGCTTACCTATTTTGGACTCAGTTTTTTCTATGGCAATTCTTAGACATACATTCATCCTCCTAAATTTATGCAACAATGTGGAACTGCACTGGAAATTTTTTTTTTTGATCGGGATGAAGACTGTTGAGTGGATGTGACAGTCTGTCTGACCTATTGTTCTGCAAACAGCTGGAGTGACAGGTGCTGAGCAGGAACATGGTGGCACATCCAACATGCCCTACATAAGCTGCTGATGCTGGCAGCAGACGGAATCAGCTTTAAGTAGTGTTTAAATGTTGCTCTTGTTGCAACAAACTAATATTTCCTCCACTCTGTGGCATTAATTTGATTAAAATCAAAATCACTGTAATTTAGCTTGGTTTGCAAATGACCAGAGGCAACTCAGAAAGGGGCTTGTCTTTGTGGGTTTATCATGGAACTATTTAAAAAATGTGCTTGAGTGATGTTATAAAAGAATCATCTCCAAATTTCAGATGGTATGTCTACAGAAGCTGCTTCCTGTCTTGCATTGTATTCCGGCATAATGAAATTGTGTGTTGTGTCACTGACACAGTGTCAGAAAACAACACACAATTACTTCTTAATTGCAAGTATGGAGAGTGACAATGACATGAGTGCTACCAGAGGTTGTATTGACATTGTGGGAGGACACAGGCATTATGTGCAATGGGCCTGGTGAAAATTTCTTAAGTATATAAACACATGATTTTCGACTCCCAGGAGTCCATACTAACAATATTTATTCTAATACTCCCATCTCACCATCATGCCACACAGATCTACAGAAAATATATTCATGTTTAAAGATTCAACTATATTTAATAAAGGGCCACTTTGATTTTTCATTTTTTTCTTGTTTAGGTTAGCTTCATTAGCTATTTATTAACTAATGAAGCTACTAAAAATATAGTTATTAATTGCAGCTTCTCATAATCCGCAGAAATAAGGCAATATCCAATTAAGTTACAGAGGAAACATGAAAAGATGTGATTATGTCACTGAGCACCAACAAGGAAGAATCTAAATAATTAAATTTGCTAGCACAAATTACAGTGTGATTAAAAAAAAAACAAAGAACTGAATTTTAAGAAGTAAAATGTGTGGACTGAAAGCCAAGTCTAGAGACTACAATGTGGGACCTCCTTTTGACATTTGATCTAGTACAAAGAATTATGAATATAAGCTATTATAGGGACTGATGGATAGTTAATGTTAGCTGAACAGGTAAGTAATGTGTGTATTCTTGATCTGAAACACAATCAATGTGTACAAGGTTGCAGAATCGTCATCTAATTTCAGATGACAATTATGTCATCTGAAATTAGAAAGTTAACATTATGCAGCTTGTTAGTTGTTGTTATGCTCGTCTAATGTCATTTATGTAAATTAGTTTAAAAGCAAGGTTTGTATTGTAGATGTTTAGCATGGAAATTGTTTATTTTCTAGAGAAATCCAATTAATTTACTTATACCAGAGCTGTATCATGAGTCATAATTTTCTCAGGGTTTACTCCATTTTGTTTCAGACAGACACATATACCCACACACACCCGCACCCACACACACACACACACACACACCCACACCCACACACACACACACACACACACACACCACCACCACCCCCCCCCCCACACACACACACACTTTGCCAACCTCAGCCGGAAACAAACAAGCTCCATCTGGTTACGTGTGCAGTCCATTAACGTGCCTTTGTCTCCTGCACCGAGGCAGGAAATTCCCTGCCATCAATACTCTGTGTCCTCTTTCTGTCTCCATCCCTCGATCTGACTTTACTTTTTACCATGGAAACACTCCAGTGGCCAAAGCAAACACAACGATGACTTAATGTACAGCTTGCCTCGTACTTACAGTGATGTACTGTGTTTTGTATTTTGCATTTTTTCCAAATGGAAATATCTTGCTTCTATTTCCTCTTATCAATTTGGGGGAGGCAGGAAATTTAAGAGCACTCAAAGTGTAGCCTCTATGTTTTCATGTATGGCAACATTATTTTCAAGTCAATCTGAAGCACAGCACCTCGCAATAATTTTGCATGAGCATCTACTGAATTTGTTAATTTTTGTGAGGCTGAAAGGATAAGAGGCTGCAGAATAACTTAAATTTAAATGGGTTGTTTTGTTTTAATAACAACTTGTGAGTCCAAAGGTTGAAGGAAGAGAAAATGTTTTTTTAAATATACGACGTTAGATGACCTATACAGTAGATGGAGAAAATTCATGCAAAAAACAAACAAAACAAAAAAAAAACTATATGTGGAACTCAAGATTTTTCCAATGACAGCCTAACGTCATTTTCCAAGTGATGCCACAGTGGGGAGCTGGTGGTAACACTGATCTTCCCTGTGAATTTGTTGGGTCCTGCATGTTTATTTTTTATGCATGGATTTTATGAAGAGAGGACAGGGGTGCTGATAAGTTGCAATATTTATTTACTTATTTATTCTGATGTTCTGTTCTAGACATGTACACAGTTTGTCTTTAGCAATATCTCTGACACAAGTCCAAAAATGCCATGATCACATTTTTAGGTAAAACATAGTCATAGTATTTTAAAAGCATGAATACAAAATTTATCAGAAACTAAAAATAGGATGTTCTAACTTATCAAATTCTTGTACAGTTTAGATACTTGAAAATGTGAATGTATTGAGGTTGCACCAAAAAGTGGGCCATTGTTTTAATAAGACCTAATTTTTAAGCACAGACCTAAATCTAATTAGGAGATTAAAACAATTCTGTTTACACACTTTCTTCATTCAATCTGAGTTTTAGTGAAGAGGTTTAGCCTCAATCTTGCAGGCACAATGAACCTTCATGTAAAGCTGATTCTACATATTAAATCTAAAATGTTTGCCACGTATCTATGGCAAACATTTTAGATTTTCATTTGTTAAAAGCTCTGAAGACAATGTGTCATTTCCTCTCACTTCATCAATTCTCCTGTTAAGATCCATCCATCCATCCATCCATCCATCCATCCATCCATCCATCCATCCATCCATCCATCCATCCATCCATCCATCCATCCATCCATCCATCCATCCATCCATCCATCCATCCATCCATCCATCCAAGGATGGATGCATCCTTGTCCCGAGTGGGGTTTGGAGGGCTGCTGGTGCCTGGTACATGCTGGACAGGTAACCATTCTGTGCATTTCCATTTTCACAGATGAAGTTTTAGATTCCCTCCACAAGGGGGCAGTATTGTCTCATACTTCAAGTGCCTGCCCTGCCTATTGAACAAGTAAATACAACAGGAGTCTGTGAAATGCACGAAATCCCAGAATCTGCAAGACTTTGGTCAAATATTATTGCCACTGTTTTTGTTTCCATGACTCCATTTAAACTCCAGTTTTTCAGTGCTAACAGAGACATGATCATGTTTAAAGTATTTATATCCTCCTCAACCCCTTCTTTCCTCCACACTGCACATGAAAATGATCGTCACTTGAAATACCAGCTGTAAATACCACCCAGGCCACTGTAACGTTCCCAATATAACCTCAGTGCTCAGCCAGCTGGAAGGGTCTGGTCAGTGGCCTTCTGTCTGGGCTGCTGGAATAGTGACAGGCGACCCTCTCTGCTCCCTTTTATTTTGTATTTATCAGGCATTTAAATGGATACCCTGAAGAAAGACATAGATTCTGAGGAAGTGGAAATTGATCTTGGGGACTCCAGTGACCCTGAAGGGTCTGAAGATTGGGAGGAACCGCAGACGTTATGGAGAGCGCAACCCTCTCTGGATGAGGAGGAAAACATTCATACATCCACCCTGGTGGAAATCAGTGATACAAAACCACTGATTAATTCAAGGGATGCCCAAGGTATCAATGACTGCCTCAAGGTAAAACAATCTTGCCATAGCTTGCAGTAGTAATAATGACCTATATTGATGTTATTTGCATTCGTAATTCAGCTAAATAATTTGATTAGAAAATGCCATAAACAGTGAATTTTCCCTGTCTTATAAAGTGCTTCTGACTCACAGGTAGGGTTTGAGGATGTGATAGCGGAGCCGCCATCAGTGCGGAGCGGGGACAGAGTTTGGATCTGGAGCAATGCTCTCTTTGAAGTGTCCAGAGTCTGGATTTACAGGATAGCCACCGCTCTTCTGGCCCTTCCCATCTCAGCCATCTCTGGTCTTTTGTTTGGCCTCCTCAGCTGCTTCCACATTTGGTAGGTTTATTTTTTTCTGCTTCATTTGAGAAATTGTTTTAACAGTGGGACTTTTCAAAGTAAAACAAATCAAAAATACAGTATTGTGAAAAAAGTATTTGCCCCCTTGTTCCTTTTTTGCACTAATGCTCAAAATTATTGAAAATAACTGCAATATCAGACAAACAGTGTCTGAATGATGGTTTTTGATTTATTTATTAATAGATTAAATTATCATTTTAAAACTACTAATTCAGATTGTTTTGGTTTTTATTTTCTGGAAAACTTTTAAATGTGATAAAAATAAATAAATAATCTGGTTGGAGGCAGATTCTTTTACACGGCACTGTAAAGGGAACGTTTAATTTGAGATCTCTCGGGTTTATTTTTCAACATTAACTATATCTGAATGTTTTTAACTGAACTATGTAATGTTTGTGTTTCCCTTTTCTGCGACAGGATGATTCGTCCCTGCATTCATTGTGTTGTCATCGGTAATCGCTGGATACAGAGCTTCTGGGACATCGTGCTGCAAGTTGTTGTGGTCCCATTCCTGACAAGCACAGGAAAATGTTGTGGAGGTTTAGGTATACACCTGGCCAAAGAATGACCCGAGAGAGACAGACTGGAAACGTTGATGATGTGGACAAAGTTCTGTTTATCTGGACTGAAGCATAAGCAGTACCAGCTTTTGACTGTTTAATAAAAGTAGTAAATACTGTGTCTGGAAAAAGTATTCATACCCCTTGAACTTTTTCTTACTTTGTCTTTTCATAACAACACACTTCAATGAATTTAATCATGATTTTGTGCTGGAGAGCACATTTTTTGTAACACAGATCTGAAAAGTGTGGTGCATGTATTTAGCCCTTTGAGTCAATAGTTTGTACAATCACCTCCAGCTAAAATCCTAGCCGGCAAATCTAGGTTGATACATCCTCTTTCTTATTTTCCCATTCACTCTGACCAGCTTCCCTGTCCCTACTTAAGCAGAGCATCCCGACCACATGATCCTGCCACCACTTTGGTGATGATATGTTTTGGGAGAGGTACAGTTTTAGCTTTCTCTCATATTATGGAAAGCTAGGCCATGAAGTTCCTTAGGATGTTTGTTCACTAATTTAAAGAACCATTTAAGGCCTTTCTAGATGATCAGCATTGAGAGTGAGATTATACACTTTTTCAGATTTTATTTGTTAAAACATAGCTAAGAACTTGTAAATGACTTTTACTTAAACTCTGTTAAGCATAAATTACATAAGATCTCAGTAAGATTAATTTAGTAGAGTTCATGTGACAAAATATAAAAAAGTTCAAAGGATAGTAATTTGGCAAGGCATTACACGTTTTTCTGTGAAATACCTGAGAATGTGAAAAATGCTAATCTTTTTAGACCTTCATGTAGTTTATGCACTGATGTAATCCCTAAAAATCATGCTCACAGTCTCAAATCATTTTGATGACTCTTTGTATGAGACAGGCTGTATTTTTTCCCATCCGACATTAAAATAGAGGTTCCAGTTATCACATTTTCTATTTTAAGCATTTAAAGAAGGTTTTTATTTACCTTTGATTGTGAGTTACCTCCACCCAATCTGAAAAACTCCCAGATTTATTTTTCTCATCAGCGAGTTTTTGCACCACAGTTTAACGTCCTGAAAGATTGTAATGTTTTGGAGTCATTCTCCAAACAGAGTGCATAATTATGTGCTCTCATGACAGAACATTGATGAGAACTAAACAGGAATTGGTTTCTTCATTGTGAAAATGGTTTCTGCAACAACCCAGATATATAAATGATATCCAGGATCCTAGAGGAAGCCTTAATAAATAATCTACCAGAAGCATTTAGAGCTGGTCGGTAAATTATCAGCATTAATATCTTTCTGAGCACTTTCAAAGGAGCTTAATCAATACATTTTGAAATATAATGACATTTAATTCGTATTTTTTAATTTCCCAAAAGAAAAAAGTGACTTTTTTATGCATCATGGATTATCTTGCAGTACAGTCCCTCTTCAATTTCAGTCTCATGATGCAAAAAGTGTGAGAACAGTCTGCAGATTTCCAAGTTGAAAACACACAAGCACCATAATTATAAAGCTTAGAGATAAAAACTGCTTCAACTGCTCTTCATTGTCAATCTTCGACATCCACTGGCCTGTATTAACTGATTCTAATAGTTTAAATACCTTCCACAGTGCAGAAAATAGAAAACATAAAAAAAAGTCAGAGAACAAGGAGGTGTGCTCAAATATTCAACAGGTACTGTATCCAGTTTCTCATTTTATGTGAGTTTGTCAGCAGGGTCTTGTCCTGAGATTAAACTTTTGCCTTCAGCTCTTGTTTTTGTTCAGACTGGTATTTCCTATGGAAGCTTGTTATTGTTGATACACAGGATTTCCCACATTCTGCAGCTGATAGAATACTACAGGGATCGTCACTCAAGTCAGGGTGCCTGATTCTATCATGATAGAAGTAATCTTTACATAAATGTGTGCATTTCACAGAAACTTATGATTCATTAACTCTTTTTTTATCCATCTGAGATTTTGTTTTAATTGCAGAGCTAGACAAAGTCCTCCAATCGAACCTTTAACCAATCTACTGATTAGAATAACTCAATGTTTGAACATTTGAAAGGGAAAATAGTTCCAGCCTGGAGATGGTCATATTTACAGGAATGGACAGTTTACATTCTCCAGACATCTTCCTCTAGTCTAGAGAATGTGGTCAAGGAAAGCAACAGAATACATTTTTGTAATACAGACTGTCTGAAGTGACTCAGCTCCTGTTTTATTACAAGTTTCCTTATGACGCATTTATCAGCATCTCCTGATCACTCATTTCCTGAAAGCTGCTGATTTCAGAGACTAAAGCTATGTTCACAATGCAGCCTGAAGTGGCCCAAATCCATTTTTTTCCTATTACGTGACCTGTATCAAGTGAAAAAAAACAAACCAAACAAACAAAATAAAACTGATCTCACAAAAAATTGGAAATGAACATTAATGTCTGTGAACATAATCTAAATGAAGAGAAACAGAACTAAAGAATCAGCAATAAATTTTCCTGACCAAGTTATTGAAACTGTTTATAAACTTGGGATTTGGTTGGATATATTTTTTTCTTGGATTGTATTATGTTGAAAGATCAAGATCAGATCCATTGTTAAATATCTTTCAGTTGGAATATCATGAAAGCGTTTTTGTTCTTTTGCGTCTGCACTGAAACCAACCAGACACAATATTGTGCATTTAGTGTACAAAGATTCATGTTTATTAGGTGTTTTTGAGGTTTCCTAAAAAATGCATGTACAGTAAAAAAAAGAACTGAGTCAGACAAGATAGATATAAACAAATCCACAGGATATTCTTTTACTCTCATAAGTTGCAAATTAAGATCTAAAATAGGCAAAGTGTACAGTTTTTTAAAAGTTGACACAATTTTCTGGTGGAAATATTTAATAGGAATCAACAAATCCTGTTCTGCAACTTTTACCTGCAATCCTGCCCCGATACATCCGAATCCAACGATCAAACTTTTGTACAACTTGCGGACATGCCAAGAGGTAATTCAGCCTTTTTATTCAGGTGTGTTAGAGCAGAGATGCATCCAAAAGTTGCAGGATAGTGGCACTCAAGGACCGGAGTTGCTGACCCCCTATTTAATGTATGTGACTGGTGTTGATCAAAATAACACATAAGTGGAGAAACAGACTTCGTAATTGCTTTTAGGGGCTGGATTGAGCCACTCTACGTCTCTCTTCCAATGTTGTCCATAATTTGGGATAATTCCTTCAGCACTGAGCTACAATCCAAGCACACTTTTGTCACAAATTATAGTCAGAACCATTTCATGGCAGTAATTCTGGCTCGAAACAGGAGTAAAAGCTCGGTTATTTTAACAGGGTCTGGACATATGGGCATGTCTCACTATTTTAAGTAATATTTGGTCACTGACATACAGCTCATAACCACTAGAGCAAGCAAGTTATGTATGAGAGGGACCACATGGCACCTATAGTAAAATATTTTTTTGTAGTTTCAACACTAGCCGCCCTTGATCATTTGTTGATCGAACTACTGCTGCTGAGATTATTTAAAATGTTTTTTTTGTATATTGCTTTAAAAAATTTTTAAAACATTTTGTTGGGTCCCTCTTTCATTTCTGCATGCAGTATGAATAACTATGGGTTCAGCAATTCATATCCAGCCACATAAAGTCTAAATTTGTGACATTAAGCTTTGGAAATGATGAAGGATGCCAGTTAGATGTTTGCTTCTATGTTTTGAGCTTTCGTTTTCTGTCATAAGATGAGGCCATATATCACTATAAACCAGTTTTTCTGTATAAAAGAAAAGCAAAGGGAAACAGTTCTTATTATTTCTGAGGAACAGCAATGTTCTGACTTGAAGTCGAGTCTGGATAAATGGAGGATGGTGAGACAAAATTCCTGAGTTTAGCCTTTGATGTGTCTAATCCCATTTAACCCGAATCATTAACTGGATGATTTATTTTCACACACAGGCACCCAAACAAATTGCCAGGATGGTTTTCTACAGAGCTTTGAGATGGCACTGACTGCAGATACCCATGCATAGACATGACTTTTTTTTTATTGTTATGTTTATTTTTTGGACATCAGGCAAACCTCAGGAGAGCATATTCCTATTACACGTTTTCTGAGTTGCTTTGGCATATTTCACACCTCATTCTGAAGATTTGTAAAATAGCAAATATCTCAGAACATTTAGAGAAAACAGCACAAATGAAGAACTTGTTCAGATCCTCGGTCTGTATCTGAAAAATAAATATTTATACCAGTCAACAGATTTGTGAAAACCAATGCCATGTATCAAGGCTACAGAACATGATACTGGAAAAGTTTTATCTGTATAAGAGTTTCAGATTTAAAGTTGGAAAACCATCAAAGTGACTTATGCATTTACACATTAATTAACACACACAGTGACAGAAAAGAAAACAGCCTATTTCTTGTCTGATTTTAAATATTTTCTGTTTTAGAGTAAATGGGAATCTACAAACCATAAACATTAATGAATTATTAATTCATTATTTCTATTTACTTTCAGAAAGACTAATGAAATAGATAATTTTTTAAGGATTTTCTTTGTTACGTTCGTTAAATTCAGACGTTTATATTAGTTTATCTTTAAACAATTTACAGAAGTCCTGATGACTAATTAACCTAGCAGGAGTTTCACAAAACAATAAAAGAATCTGGATGCACACCTGTGGATGTGTTTTGAGGTGATGATTCAAACACACCGCTTTCTTGTGTGAAGGTGAAAGTAAAAAGAAATCATGCAAAAATATCAGGATGAAACCTGTGGCTCTCTGAAAGTCTGGTTCAGTTTTGGGTACCTTATGGTGCCAACTGCACACAAGTAAAAACAGCTTGGGATTGTCCAGCTGGAGATTGCAATTGTTCTGTGCCCCAGAGACAACATCTGTTTCATTGCAAAATATGTGAAACAACCTCTGAACAAAATGAAGTGAAGATGTAGGCCAAATCTGGTGAGAGGGGCTCCTGTGCTGACATGAGCTTTAAGGCGGCTCTATCAGAAAGAAGCCATTACTACAAAGGCAACATAAAAGTTACTTTTTGAAGCCATGTCTTGTTGTCTGAGGAAACTGAAACTAAATAGTTGGGTCATAATTTCCATTGTCACATCTGCAGGAAAAAAGGATCAATCTTGCAACCCTAAGAACATCATCCAAACTGTGAAGTACAGGAATGACAGAGTTGTGTTGTTGGGGTCTTGCTGCAAGAAGTAAACATCTGAAACCAGATTGCCTCCGAAGGAAGGAACATTCTGTGAAAATAATGAAGCAACATCTCCAGACAACAGGTGGGAAATTAAGGCCTGGGTCAATGACCCTGAGCATACCACCACATTAGTTAGAGAGCTTTTCAGACAACAAAAGCAGGAAAGGTCATCACAAAGCTCCGATTTCACTCCCTTGGAAAATTTGTGGACAGGGTTGAAAATGTGTGTGAGAGCAAAGAAACCTCCAAATCTGACTCAGGAATGGGACAAAATTTCAACTAGCTGCAATAAGCAGCAGGTAACAGAAAATCTCCCCCCACCCCCAAAAAGAAGAAGAAGAAAAAAAGAAACTAAACAAAACCCAAAAAGGTCTGTGCATGAACAACAGCAAACTAGAATCTCTTTTCAAAACTATCAGAAAGTAGAAATATTTTTACTCTAATCTAAAACTCTAAAAGTTTAGCCTGATTTAATGTCGGTCAGTGAGAAAAAAGTGAATGTGCATGCAACAAATCTTTATAAAGCAGTTTGTGATTGGTTGAGTAAGTTAATGTAGTTCAGTTAGCTAGAATATAAATGAGCCAATCCCACATGTTCCCCTCGTCAAGTTTAACCTGAGAGCACTTCAAATGGGTAGAAACTATATATTCTGAACACAATCATAGAGAAAATTTCAGAAGAAATGTTTGAAATATGCTTCATGTTTTTTTTGTAAGAATTTCAATACCCTTAATTGCAAGATGAAATGACAAGCTGGCCTGAAAAGATACGCATTTGATCATCATTCAATGAGCAAATTATGTAACAACCATCTATTGCACATAAGAAACTGCATGAGATTATAAAAGTATATGCAGAACAACAAATCAAAAAATAAATAGTAGAAATAGTTAGCAACTGGACTTTGGAAATTAAACAGGAAGTTTGATCAGTTTAAAATGTTTTAAGAGAAATGTGCAAAAGCAACTGAGAAAAACTGCATAAAAATATATTAATAATGTGGATCAGCATCTATGGTAAACTTCCTTAAGTTGTATACACACCAGGATATAACTTAAGGAACAGTGGACTTTATGTATTCTTTTTCCTTGGATTTGCTTTCTCATTGTCCCTTTTTTGCAAGTGGATAATTCTTTATAGACAAATCAACGTGGGTGACGACCTCACTGGCCAGAAATGACAGGGGTTGGAACAGAGTACAGACCCCCAAAAAAGAAAAAAAACTCTGAAAGTCCTGCTTGCTGCATTTCTCTTGTGCACCTTTGTGCTGTTACTAGAACAGCAATAACATTTCAAACATAAGGAGCAATTCAAACAATGGAGGATATACAATGTGATATTCAAATTTTGTGTGTGCTGCAAGCTGAATTAGACGCTCTATCTGCGCCGACCCACGACATGCTGGCAGCAGCAAACAGGCAATCGGCTACGATTTCAGTACATGTAGTAATATCAACAGAGAAAGGCTCATTTTTACCATAATTCCCAGCATTGTGTCCTGTTGTTGGTTCATATTGAGGCCAGTCTGTGTTCACACTTGAAGGGAAATGCACCAGAATTTTTTTGAGACCACCTTAAAAAGTGAGTCTCGGTCTGCTTGTTTAGTCCGCACCAGAGTTCGCTTGAGTGCATTCACACCTGAACAAAAGGTTCAGACCAACGGAAGAAACATATTCTGGTCCGTTTAAAGTGGGCCGAATATGTCAGGTGTGAACACACCCATAAACTATAAAACTGAAGCTCAAAAACACTGCAAACAAATATAAAGAATGTTTACAGTTGTTTAACTTTAAATAGGAGACAAGTCTTGTTAACTAAACATCCAGTATGTAATATTTTGTCCTATTTTTTCATCTCACAGATATTTATGTTTGAACATGCCACAGTAAACAACAATACACATCAATTCTTTTCCTCCTACTCATTCTGTGACCATAGGTAGAAATGAAAGCCACCAAGTCAGTCTGTTCAACACAACAAGAAAAGTTTTTTTGGCATCTTCAATTAAAGTCTGGTCCATTCTGTCTGGTCCGTCAGAGCTGACATTTGAACACATCCTGCTAAATTTAAACGTGCTCTGGTTTGCAGCTCATTTAGTTCACATTTTGGACACAATGGCATTTTGTTCTACTTTCTGTTATCACAGGGTGCAGGACTGTTTCCGGACAGGAGGTTTATGTTCTCTGTTTGGCTTAATTTAATACAGCTGACAACAAGCATTGTGCCATGGCGAGCTCAGCTCTGCTGTAGATGATTAAATGCCTCAACCAAGGCCTTGCATGATTGCTGGATCAAGTCAACCACGGGAAGCTTAAGATGGCTCCCTGCCGGCTCAATGCGCAGGCCCCACTGTGCTGGAAGTGTGAGTCAAACTCCTCATACTGCTGCCGTTCTTGATGACGAAAGTGGAGGAGCCACTTTTGTGCCTGCACTGCTGATCGCAGCGGCAGGAAGAGTCCGCCAGATAGTGTCTGCAGCAGCAGAAGAAGCTCCGCATCAGGTCATGAAACAGGTGACCAGCAAAGAGCATGTAGATCCAGGGATTACAGCAGCTGTTCAGGCTCGCAAGCAACATGGAGATGATGAAGGCCATGTCTACAGGGAAAGAAAAACTAGAGTCAGTGAAAAGGAAAGCATTTAAAACAACAAACCACAACATTTTACTAAACAAAAATAGAAAATAACCTGCCTATATTTCAATAACGGCAATTTATAATATGGTTTGGAAATGATGAGGTAGTCACGGGGTATTAACACAAAACCTATGGACACTTGTGGACTACTTAAAAAGTATGTAACTTGAAAATTTAGGACACCTTATTAATTTAATGATTAGTTTGAATAAATAGTCACACTGATTGCTAATTCAACTAATTTATCATCTGCAAAAAAGAAATTAAGTTTCATTTTAAGAGTATTTCACAATAGAATAGAATACTAACTATTTACTCTATTTTGTAGAATATAATAGAATATTCTATCTGCAACATAGAATATTCTATTTAGATACAAATACTTTTTGTATACGTAAAAATATGGACAATATGTAAAATGTTTTGTAGAAACACATTTCTACAAAAATAGAATATTCTACAAATATTTTTCTATTTTGTAAAATAGAATATTTAAAATAGATCTATTTTGTATTCCAACATGTATTCTACTACAGAATAGATTATATTTTATTCTAGCTAAGTTTATGTTATCTAAATATCATAGGAAAACATTCAGGTTTTGCTAGAATGTCCTATTTTCTTCCCCCATGCCAGTACTGATAATCTTTGCTTTAGCTGAAAAAAAAAAGAACATTACATCAGATCAGCGGTCTCTGAATGTATGTTTTCTTCTTTATTTGACACGCTCAACAAAGCATTGGCAGATGCTCACTCTATTGTTCAGATCTGCTGAATCAGCTTCACATGTTTAGGAAACAGGCTGTGAATAATTTCACCAGGCTGACTAATGTACTGAAACTAAATGGTTTTAGAAAAGACTGTAAAGGTTCTTTTCATCATCTTTAATTATTTTTGCTATATTGCTTCTTGTTAAAACTACTATAAACTATCCATATGCCTAATTATGTTTAATTATGTTAGAAAAAAAAACCCCACTACCTTTCAACCTGGCATAAGATTTTTTTTTTACAGGAATAGAAGTTCCTGCATAAAATGTGCACTAGACTATATCACCTCCATCTATGCATCACCTTGCCAGCAGAGGTAGGAGTGTGACTGATGCCGAATGAGAGTAACAAATCTTGCCCCAGAGTTACAACTCTGTTCTGCATAACAGTTTGCAGATTTTCGATACATTCCTATTTTAAATTCAATAAAATGTTATCTAGAAAATTTAATACAGCTGAATTACAGCTTTATAAATTAAATAAAAAAGTTATTTGGAAGGGACAGCAAAGTGTGATTAACTTCAACTTGGACCTTTTTTTAATTTGTGAAATAGTGAGCAGAGGAACTTGCCCGACACAGGGGTAAGACTTGTGTGACCAATGCAGCCACAGTGCATAATCAACTCACTCCAAACCTGTACATCCTAATAAATAAGATCTCAGTAAAATACATTTGTAACCAGACAGCATGTCTGCAACACAATGTCCAACAAATTCGTTTCTCTGAATGATTATTTTGTTTTTACTGGAGACATTTAGCTGTGATAAAACATTATAGAAGTAAACATGGCTTAGGTTGTTTTAAATGTATTCATAATTTAAAGATTTCAGGGCGGTGGCTTACAGAAAACTAAGCAGTTTTTATCTCCCCATTTGACTCCCTTCCTGTTGGGACTGAAATCGCTTTTCATTTAGAACTATACGAACCCCCACATTAGACATCCTCCAAAGCATTCAGGATTAATAAAAACACGAAAGGTTAATAGATGCCGAATTGAGGATTGTCAAGCTGACACAGATATGACAAATGGGTTGTTAAAAGAGGCCGCCCTGTAGTGGAAAAAAAAAAAAACACCTTATTTTCCCAACCACTCAGCCAATTACATATATAGCTGCAGAGCACATTGAGGCAGAAGTGGAAAATGGATGACTTCCAAATATATTTTTTCTTCTCTGAATTGTTAATGGGGTGTGGGAGATTTAGTACTTATTGTCTTTTTCACCCCTCTGGTGCTGAGCTGCTCTTTTCCTGCCTGACTCCAACTCCCTACAGGACCGAGCTTTCTGCTCAAAGCTTTATGCTGTGTTTAAAAAATGACCCGAAAGTATGAGAGGCGTTTGTTTAAGACATAAGTCAAACAGCCTGTCCAGAGCTGAAAGACTATTTGGTGCAGCATGGAAATATGGAACGCAGTTCTTTTAAATTCCCAAAACTGAGAGAGTGTGAAGGTTGTTTTTCTTCACCCAAACTTCTGGGATTTTATTAACAAAACATCAACATTATGGTACGCAGTTTTTAAAAAAAATTTATTTATGACTTTTAACAATTTAATGAAGGAGAAAGAAACATCTGTTTGTTAAAAGAAGCACTAAGACTATCATTTGCAAGTTAATAAAAATATTTTTCCTCTCTACAAATTTGGTTCCACAATCTTACAATTTTAGTGATGTCCAGGCCATCTAATTAAGAGCTAAATGTTTCATAATTTGATCAAAAAACATTTGCTAAACTTGCACTCATCTCAACAAAGAGTGGAAAAGCGTCGAAGAATCTGCAGTAAATTTGAAAGCACAGGTTCAGTTATCCACACTTCAGCACCAAGATTTAGATTGAGACCTACTTTTGAAATGAGGGAAGACCTCATATACCCAGCTGGAAACCTACCTAGCAGTCATGTTCTTATTCTATGGAAGGAAGCTGGAGTACCCAGAGAGAACCCAAACATGCACAGGGAGAATATGCGTTTCCATTCAAATAGAACCCAGGCAGGGATTTGAACCTAGGACCTTCTTGTGAGCTGATATCTACCAACACTACTTTGTTTGTTTTCCTAAAGTAAATGTTATTTACTGTTGCAGGAAAAAGCAGAATCAAATTTACTGCTTGTATTTAAGCTTAAAATGCGTGGAAGTTTTATAGCCAATGAATTTACATTCATGCAGAAATTTTCAGACTTTATTAGTATGAAAATTGTTTCAATAGAACAACAGTCACAAAAATGTATTTATAGTAAATAATTTGCAAGGACAGGTTAATTTCATAATGTATGTAGTTACTGTTTTTGTACTCTACAAAATAAAAATGCAGCAGTCCAAGTTATACTCTTGCCCTCTATATCCAGAGAGTTCTTTCTTCACAGCCACAGACCAGAATGATGAAAGCAACGAGGTATTTAATGTCCTGCCAGAGGACATTTTGAAGTGTGGAGAGTCTCAATAACTAATCTATTTTCTACTAAGTCTTCCACATGCAATTATAGACAAAAAGGACACATTCCCAACACAGATATATCTCAAGATCCCCATTGAATTGGAGTTTTAATGAGTTTATTAAAAGAAGAAAGCACATTCTGATTTGCATTCCAGAAGTCTCACGATTCAAGAAAAAAACTAAAGGTGATGAGGGTTTTTCAGGAGCTGCCCAAAGTCTGTTTAATGGTTTGTCTCAAAATATGCGATGCAGAGACTGCAGAGACTTTTTATCTCTTTATAGACATTTTTTAGGGCTTTTACTTCAAGTTGAGTGTCAGACCTCAAGAGAGTTTATGCAGCTTATAGTACTTTTATTCAGTTGTTCTTTTTTTATTATTTATATATGTTTAATTTTATTTTAGAATATTTCCAATGCATATTATATCTTGTCTCATTTGGCTGTGAAATTCTCTTTTAAACATGTGTTGTTTTAAAATGTACTATATAAACAACATTGAAATTAACCTGAAGTGCAAAATGAATTATTTTTTGTGCTGTATGATGATCTTGCAACCTGTTCAGAAAATAACCTATCTTTGGGACATTGGAAACAGACATAAAGGACAGAGATTACAAGATACAGGCAAAGGAGGCCGTGCGAAATTGGTACAAGTCGTTGGATTAAAAAAATTGTGATCGACGAACAAACTCATGGCAGAAACTAAATGGAGATTGTTCAAGTTGTCTGTAGGGTAGCTACGTCCACTGTCTTATTCTGCAAACTCGGGTTCTTGTGGTGAGACATTATGACATCAGATCTTTCATTCATAAAACATCACATTGCTTCCCATAAAAGTCACATTCATGGCAGAAAGTGCAATCCAGTTAGCCAGTATGTGATTTTGTCCAGTGAAATACAGTTAAGCCTAAAATTATTCATACCTCTGGAAAATTTAGATGTAAAATAACTTAAATTCAACCCACAAGTTAATGTCTGGATGCAAATGAGAAATAAAGCAAATGTACTAAAAGACATATTACTATATAGAATATGTTTTTATTCATATTTTGTCATCAAAGCTTATTCATAGCCTTGTCAACAATCATTTCAAAAATATTTACTGGCATTACAGGAATCAAGCTGTTCTTATCATCACTGTCCATCTTTTTGCCTCTTTCCATTGTTTTATTATTGATTATGAGTCTTTGAGGTTTAAATGGCCTCCCTGTCATCACCCTAATCTTTAACTCTCTCCATACATTTTCTAACAGATTCTGACTTGGTCTCTCCAAAATGTTCATATTTATTCCAGTTAGATTTCTTGAACCCTAAATGTTCCAGGGGTTTGATGAATTTTAACTGGAGTAGAGTTTCTTATCAATAAACTGATAACTAAGTAAATATTGGCCAATTATTATTTCAATAGATCATCATACAAGCAGACATGTAATAGACAAACAAAGCCCTCTAATTTGCTTTGTCAGACAATAAACAACTTCAAAGTAAATTATCTCCAGCTACATTAACAAAATCAAATAAGAAAAATAACAGAGCCTCTTTTTCTCAATCAAGCTGCCCAATATCATCAGTGTTTGAATAACTCTAGTTTTTTTCTTGAAGATGGAGTAAGATTGTAGCATGTTCAGTTTTCTATCAGACTGCTGTGTCACATCTTCCTACCAGCACTGAACTAAACTGTCTTGTGAGTTCATGTAAACTGAACTGCAGTTTGCTTGCATGCATCATCGTTCTTCGTTGCTCGTTATTCACAATCCAAAATACCAACCTGACATAATTCAACAACAAACAGAAGTTAAAAAAACAAAAAAGCAAAAACACATTCTAATATTTATGAAGCCTTTATTCTACTCATATATTCTACTCATACAAACCGAGGAAGTGGGGATTTTGCTTCTATTTGGACATTAGGAGCACCAAAGAATTACACAAATGGATACCTGAAATCTGGACTGTACTATTCAAAGCTGAAAGTCCTTAAAGTATTTGTGAAATATAAATAAATATATTGAATACTCAAAAATATTATCAGAATCTCATATTGTTCTGGGGAAACCATAAAATGTGTCAATATCAGGTATTGTCACGTCTTATGAGTTTAATTTATCTTTATTCTCCTCCCGCAGACTTAAATATATTGTAACATTCACAAAAAGGCAAAAGACGAAAGACCGTCTGTAGGTCTTTCATAAACTACAGACTTTAATTGAAAACATAGAGGAAACTAAGATACTCTTGTTTCAGGATGATGCTATTATAAGTCTACTTAGAATGAACTCTGTTTGAAAACTAGATTTTATATTTAGCTTTATATACGGACAAAAAAACCTCATTGTCTGTTTGCTGGAGTTACTGTTTAAGACAAAAAGATGAACCGGTTTAACCTGACAAGAAGTCATTCATTTTACTGTGCATGTTTTAAAATAATAATTTAAAAACAACAAGAGCAACTTGAACTATGTTGATCAACTAAAGGCAACAAAATACAGTTTTAAAGCGCGTACACGCCATCATTTTGGAAATGTTCGTGCAACCAAAAATGTAATGATGATTGTTGTTTCCAGTTTTATTATATTTCTTGTATTTTTATATATTATCTTCAGTACAACAATATTTCTTTGTAGATTTTGTCTATTTCCATGGCTTTTTTTGAGTTTGCAAAAAGAAAAAGAAAAAAAGATTTTGGCATTAATTTGAACAAGCAGGACGAACAACATTAGAAAAGAGGATTTTGTTTTTAATTTTTATCCAAGACAAACTGTTAATCTGTAACATGATTTTTTTAATACTGCATTTTGAAAGCAAAAGCAGTTTGTAGGTAACTGGCAACAAGAGTAATAAAAGAAGATTTATTATTTATTTTTATTTTTTTTCCAGTGGACACTTCAACCAAGTCAACAAATCATGCCTCATAAACACAAATCATTTTGTGCAGCTTTTCAGATATTTAAAACAGAATAATCTTGAAACTATTTAATACGTAAATCTGTAACAGAACAAGAACTTGTGCAACTTTCCAAAGTGGTTCAATGTAAAGGTCGTGGAGCACATCTGCTTTGCTGCTCATGTCCTCTTTTAAAGCAAAAGGCGAAGAAAGTATGAAAAAAAGTTTAAATGGATATTATATAAGCTACAACTTGAAACAGAGCCTTTTGATGCACTGGTTCCCAGTGGTTTCAAAGACGATAAGAGTTGTAAGTGACATTCTCATTTATCTGGTTTCACTCCTGGGAAGTCTGGACTTAATCATCTTGGTGGATTTCTCAAAGAAACAGGGGAATGGTCATGCATTCCAAGAGATATTTCTGACAATGACCTTTGCATGCCAAAAGCATTTAGTGTTGAAATATTGTCTGCCAACGGTTTATGGACAACACATTTTCAGTGCCATGAATCAAAAATGAATACAGTACAGCATTCTGCTTCTTGTGCCACAAAACACTTCCTCACGCAGTAGCAGGAAAATAAAGCTGTCAGCCAGTATATTCAGTCATTAAAATATCTACAAAATGATATATTTATCTTCTATCTCTTGTGCCATTTTGGAAAAAAGACGAATGAGATTTTTACCTTCTCTTGGTGCAGCAGGATCCCATGCAGACCACATCTGGACAAAGAAAAAAGGAGTCCAGCACACAATATATGCGATGACCACCACAAATGTCATTTTCACGGTGCGGATCTTGGCTTTAGAAATGAGTCTGACGCTGCTCACGCGTGACAGTGGATGTGCGCCCTTGGATGGCCTCGGCGTGAGTGCCAAAAAGTGCTCCCTCCTGGTTTTCATGTTGATATTCTGCCATATTTTAAAGCATATCAGACCGTAGCAGATGCTTAATATCGCTACTGGAAGAATGTAAATGCTCAGACTCATCCATGTGATGTAGGCTTTGGCACCCCAGGGTTGCACGAAGTCCCCCCAGCAGTCGTAAACGCCACTCCCGACCTCCCTGAGAGAAAAGATGTAGGCTTGTGGGGTACTGAAAATCAGACTGAGGATCCAAGATGCGATCACACAGAAGCGATCTTTCCCCTTGTGCACCGAGCGAAGCGGCTGGCAGATCGCTAAGCATCTATCGATGGACATCAGGACCAGCATGTAGGTTGACGCAAACATGCCAACAACCTGGAGGTATTTGACCAGCCTGCAAAGGAAATCAGGTCCGTAAAAGCGAAAGGTTATGTCCCAGATGAGCTGCGGCAGGACCTGGAACACCGCCACGACAAGATCTGCGATGCTCAGGTGCTTCATGAAGTAATACATCCGAGAATGGCTGTGCTTGGTGGTGTGGATAGCCCACAGGACGCACAGGTTGCCGGTCAGAGCGAGCAGCAGCACCAGTACCAGGACAGTAACTTCCACTTTGGCTACTTCTTCGTTTCGCTTTAAGGGGTTTACCGTGTTGTTCCCTAAATTGGTGCTGTTTATATCACTGGAATTGTACCAGGAAACGTTCTGAGCCCAAGCTTCCTGTGTGCGTAAAAGTTCCTCCATCATGCGCACCAGCGTCAGATTTTGTGCAGTCAGCGGTCACATCACAGACGCGGAGTTAGGGCTGCAGTCAGTCGATGTAGATTTTAGATGTCATCCATGAAACGTTACTTTGTTCTCTCTTGGTTTAATGGCTAAATCTCCACAAAGTTGGGCTGTCGTCCGAAGGAGAAATAAGGAGATTAAAAACTTTCATTGCTTCAGACTCTCCAAAACCAAATCAAGAAATGTATATAAATAAATAAAATTAAGAACTCGTGGTAAAAAGAAACTCACCAGGGAGATAATCTGCTGCGTTTCTTTCTTGTGATCTGCGGTCTGTCTCTCTCTCTCTCTGCGTCCAGCTGGATCTGTTCTGGTCTGTGCATCCCACCACTGTCTGTGCAGATCCCCTTCCCTCTTTTTATTTTCACCGGAAGGAAACTGCCTTGGTTGTGTACAGTCTTCACATTACTTCACGTTGTATCATTTCAAATCTACTGACCCTGTTTGTGTTCCCATTTACCAAAATATGTAGGCTGTTTTTATTTTTTATGTTTATTTCCTTTATTTAACCAGGTAAAGATCTGGATCTCATTTTCAAGAGGGACCTGGGTAGAAGTCTGCAATACAAAGTACCCTGGTTACAAAATAAAACCAATTAATACATATTTACAAGTGTAAAACAAATGCAACATTACCTCTCTATTGTCATCTCATGATGCTACAATTATGGGCTTAGCAGCAGCTTCCAATTATTAACTGGTGACAAGCAAAGCAAAAAGATCTCTGAGCTTTTGATGTTACTCAATTTTAATGTGCATCATGTGACAAATGAGTACATAAGAGGACGATGTCTAAATGTGCCATTTTGCTCTGTGACCCTAATGATAAATGCTAAACCTCAAGCGAAGAGACTTAGATTTACAGTTAAATCTCTAACATTACAAACCTGTGACTTTAATCTCTACAAAGTAGAAAAGATACAGACAATAAATACATTTCATTCAATCTTCATAGTTGTTATTGTTGTCATGCAACATAATTGTGAGACCACTGATAGTTGGTTTTCAACATTTTTGTTTGCATGAGTTATATAATCTGAAATAAATAAGTAGATTTATCTGTGTGTATTTCTGAATCTGAAATATCCCAGTTACAGATAATCATGTGTCTTCAATTATGTTAATGTTGTATAAAACAGATCCTGTTGTCAAAAGTGACCTTAATTGTGACCTAGGACGAACCACAGGCATGGGGACCGACCTCCACTTCCCTTCGATGCTATAATTTTTCTATATTCTCATTTATCTGAGACCACTTTAAGCTTATTGCTACAAATCATTAAATTACTTTCTCAGTGTGTCTTTATAACATTCACAAACCACAACTGGGTCTGTTTACTGTTATCCTTCCTATATGTCAAATGGCATTCAAATTAAAATTAAAGAGATACAATTTAAGAAATATAATCATAAAATCCATATTTGATTCATGCCTAATATCTTCTGTGTTTTTGCTGTCAAAATGTTCAGTTTTGGGAATGTGTGCATTGAATGTTCTCCACTTGTAGACTATTTTCCATAGAGTGACATGGCTGATTTTAAATTGTTTTGAGACTTCTTGAAGTCCCCCACCAACCTCAAAAGCTGCAGCAATCTTCTTTCTAAAGGCCACAGAAAGCCCTTTCAGTCTCACCATGATATTCACTCTCATAAGTGTCAGTAGTTAACAAATCTGAATATCTGAGGTTTAAATGGCAAACCTCCTGCAGAGTGCTGAGTAGCAAACTTCTTGTGTTCCTCTATGATGCAGCTTAGTGAGAATTAATGTGCGGGTGTCCTAATTTGTCTTTCTTCTAAAATGTAACTTTTATTACATTATACAGAAAGTATGAAAGTGTCTTTTCTTTGGGTTTTATTGTCTGTTTTCTGTTAATTTTGCAGTGTGAAAAGCGATGTTATATTTCCACATGCCCAAATATGTCAGAAAAAAAGAGGCTTCAGTAGTGAGTCATGTTTTTTCACATAAAGGTAAGCCAGCTTTTGCAGAAAAATATGGACATGTGAACATCACGCCTCATCCACAGACACTGAATGCATGTTTTCTCCAATTTATTTGACCCACTCAGCTGAACATTTGCAGGTGCTGCATTGTGCTGAATCTTCCTCGAATGTTTAGGAAACATGCTGTGAATATTTGAGCCACACTGCGTAAAATCACACAAAATCTGATTGTTGAAAAGAAATAATGTGCATACAGATGCTGTGTTAGATTTGTAATGTAATTACAGTTTTGTTTTGTTTAATTATAAATAAATAGATGCTGCTCAAGCTATTGTGCTTGGAAGTATTTGAAAGAGGTAATTTGAATATTTGCTTTATGTTTTATATTGTATGGCTCAGTGCATGTTTATTCTTTTAATTCCTTAAACTCAGTTTTACATTCAAGTAAATTTAAGACATGACAGGCATTATTTGTCATTTTCTATTTTCTTAATTTTATGGAAGTACAAACATCTTTATATTCAGCACTTTATTTTCAACAAGTAAATAGCTCACATTTAATGTTTCACAATTAGGTGACATCAGCTTTAACATACATTTAAACCTTAAATACTCAGAGGTATCGGTAATGATGACAGATTTATACTGATCTCCATCTCCTATCATCGGTTCAGATGAAGACGTTTCATGAATGTGAGAATCACCTTCATCACAACAAACATCTCTGCTGGGGTTTTCTTTACAGACGAATTATGACTAACACTCCTTCACTCAGAGGTCAACAAATTCATACTTTATAAAAGGAACAAAAGCAGGAATCCAGGCTGTTGAAAACCTAGAAAAAGCTGGACACAAAGTTCAGTTTATGCTCCAATCAAGCACAATCTCAATCCCAATCTTGTGAGCTATTAAATTAATTAATATTTAACTCATATAAAAGTTCTCTGTTCTCTGCAAGACACTGCACACCACAACAAGAACCTGACTGAGCCAACAATTTCAGGTTAATCATAATCAAAAACCCATTTTAAACCAATTTTAAACATCATATCTTCTAACTAGAAGATTTGACAGCTGAATATTTTTCAACATGTGAAAATGCTGGTTATAAATGGGCTCATTAAGGTGTTATATCATTTGTATTTATTGCATTTTCTCTGTAGTCCAAAGGACACTACCTGGGAATTAAAGACACAGTGTGTGAGCACAGTAAACTGAGTGTCAGACCCAGTAAGAAGTCATTAGATGGGTGGTTATATTAAGCCATAATGACTTCATGGCCCCAAGCGAGTCACTTAGTTTGTTTACGCTGCAGGCTGGGCCCGAGTGTATTGACCAAAAGGCCATTTTTATTATTCATCCAAAAACATCTAAGGGCATCATTGCGGCTAAGCGCTTAATACATAATGCAATGGTAGGTGTCTGCCTTGTCTGAGGCATTTTCATTGATCCATATAGTTCTGCGCACCACCCCAGGCACTGTTGCATTCAACACCTCCAGTGGCACCATGAGGTTCATTGTGTGTTTTTATTGATTTTTCCTCCAGTGTTAGGAAAAAATTAATAAGGTTAAACATTTTCTTTAACTCAAAAATGTTTGCAACAGCAGAAAGTAATTAAATGAAGGATATATAAGGACTTAGAATAAACTGAAAATAAAAAAAAACCTTATTTCATAGCAAATATTCTGTATAACTTTTCAAATTATTGCATGTGTAGTTCAGAAGATTCATGCTGAACAGACTAGAAAGAGACAATTGGTTGAGATTATTTTAGAATCACAAAGCACAATGAACACCAAAGGAAGATTTTTATTACTCACATTCTTTTAATAATCATTACATAACTACTGAAAATAATTTTTTAAATACATTTAACGCATTAGATCAAGTGATTACATGTTTTCCATCTGCAACACATGCATGCAGACAGAAAACATGCAAACTCTATGCAGAGAAACCCAGCCTCAGATCCCAGGACCTTTTTGCTGAAAGGCAATTTCTCCAACACCATGTATCATTTGGGCATGCTGCATCGAAGTCACGCAGATTTAAACCATCAATACATCTCAGGTATTGGTCTGGCTAGATATTTGCTTAGTAGTTTCATCAGAATTTGTAGTTTTCTTTTTAAATTGTTAAAGGGTTTCTTGGCATATACTCAGCTTTTTAGCACTTCTTACACAGCAGAAAGTGGAGCCACTGCAGAATCGTGGTTTATTTATTCTAAAAGCAGTTTTCATCTCTTTGTGATCGTTGTTCTGTTGGAAATCTCCATTGTGCTCAAGTTTAAACCACTGATTTGAGCTGAGGTTGAACAATTTAGAGATTATCCTTCTTTTTCATTATTCACTCCAATTTTGTATTGCACCATTCGTCTGTGAGTGATTCAAAAACACTTTCACCAAATGCCATGTCATAGTCTGTGTGGTCACTGTGATTTAAAGCAGGAACTTCATTCTTAGTGTGTGCTCTCTACTCTTTTTCTGATGTCAAACTCATTTCACTGCAAACATAGTGGTACGTCTGCATATTGCTGTTTATGATAAGCTCAGATCTTGGTGGTTTCTGGGGTCCCTTTACAATTATCTTTAATGTCAGTTTGGGTCAAATTTTCATGAATTTAGGGCAATGCTGTGTTTGTATGGTGCTTTTTCCTGACTGTTGATCCAATCTAGGAGGACATGGATGAGCAGGCAGCAGCTGGCTCACAAATGCTTAAACACATCATTAAGCTGACAGACTGACTCTTTGCCAAAATGTCGACACAGTAGTTGCACCAAGTCGATTTCTAACAGATTGTCTGAATATGGTTCCTGGTCCTTACATCAAGTTATTCTCAGTGTTTGTTGTCAGCTTTAGAAAAGGAAATTGTCTAAGCCAAACCAACAACACCCAGCATTACTAGAGATGGACCTTTTCAACAACCTGCATGCCCAACTTTCAACAACCTTCTCGAGAACAACGTGATTATTTATTGTTTTTTATATCTTTCAAAGATAATCATACTCAAAAAGGGACAAAATATTTTTTTTTTCATTACTTTTTGCGGATCCCACTTCAACCTCTGGACCAGTAAGAACAAATCTAATTCTTATTCACCATAA